ATGTGTCTTTGTGTACATCTAAATGTTAGTGTGTGTCTTTGTTTAGAACCAAATGTTAGTGTGTCTGTGTGTACATCTAATTGTTAGTGTGTCTGTGTGTGGATCTAATTGTTAGTGTGTCTGTGCGTACATCTGATTGTTATTGTGTCTTTGTGTACATCTAAATATTAGTGTGTGTCTTTGTTTAGAACCAAATGATAGTGTGTCTGTGTGTACATCTAATTGTTAGTGTGTCTGTGTGTAGATCTAAATATTAATGTGTCTGTGTGTACATCTAAATATTAATGTGTCTTTGTGTACATCTAAATGTTAGTGTGTGTCTTTGTTTAGAACCAAATGTTAGTGTGTCTGTGTGTACATCTAATTGTTAGTGTGTCTGTGTGTGGATCTAATTGTTAGTGTGTCTGTGCGTACATCTAATTGTTATTGTCTTTGTGTACATCTAAATATTAGTGTGTGTCTTTGTTTAGAACTAAATGTTAGTGTGTCTGTGTGTACATCTAATTGTTAGTGTGTCTGTGTGTAGATCTAACTGTTAGTGTGTCTGTGTGTACATCTGATTATTATTGTGTCTTTGTGTACATCTAAATATTAGTGTGTGTCTTTGTTTAGAACCAAATGTTAGTGTGTCTGTGAGTACATCTGTGTGTGTGTGTGTGTGTGTGTGTGTGTGTATGTGTGTGTCACGAGTAGATCTGGATTTGTTCTAGAGGTGTTGACGCGGCTGTCCTGATGGCGTCCCGATGACGTATCGTCCCGATGACGTGGCGTCCTGATGGCGTCTTGATGGCGTCGTGATGGCTTCCTGATGGCGTCCTGATGGCTGCAGACAACGAGAAGAGACGTGAGGAGGATCATCAGGATGTCAGACAACATCATAGATCCCATTATTTTTAATTTGGATCCACATAGAAATTATTTTCATGTTTGTTTGGATGTGTAAATCTACCATAAGATATTTATGGGTGTTAAACTGATTTTCGTGGATTTGCTTTTTATGTTTAGCTAGTCTCTGTGCATACCAATATGTTAGTGCGTCTCTGTGTAAGTACTTTTTACATTACATTACATTTCATTTAGCTGACGCTTTTATCCAAAGCGACTTACAATAAGTGCATTCAACCATAGGGTACAAACTCAGAAGTGCAATGTCCTCAAATAACCTTTATATGTTAGTGCGTCTCTGTGTAAGTACTTTTATATGTTAGTGCGTCTCTGTGTAAGTACTTTTATATGTTAATGCGTCTCTGTGTACATCTACATGACAACAGCAGGAATCAGAGGTTTATCTCAAGGTATTAGCTCTAAATCACAGCCTTCTCCACCCGATAGACCAATACATCATTCACAGCAGTAAGGCTGCAGTCTGTCTGGATTCCTCACTTACCTTGAGCTCTGTTAAGTGCAGCAGAACGCGTCTTCGTCCCCTCTACAGACTCCTGAGGCCATGGTTGCTTTCTGCAAGTGTAGGTCCGGAAAACTTCAGTGTGTAGATGCGAGGTTTGAAACTGACTGACTGGATGTGCAACAGACTGTGTTCTTATGCTGTGGTGAACGGAGCATAGAACATAGAACATGGAACATGGAACATGGAGAAATGTTCCATCATGATGTAACGTCTCTATGGTTACAGTGAAGGTATCTACAACATGCAAATGAGCCTTTAGAGTAAATGTGTGTGTGTATTTGTATTGATGGAGCTCATCCACTTGACATGGTGAATAAAACACTTTGCTCTACTTGTTTTTTTCTATGAAACCCATCTTGATCTTGAAAGCAAACACTTTAAGAATAAATAAAGAACGATTTTTGTCCATTGTTTCATCAAGTCGGAAATTTGTAAACTGTTGAATCCGGATTTTTAAACATCCCTTTCGAGCCCTCTTGTCTCCAGTCTTCATGCTAAGCTAACCAGCGGCTGGCTTTAGCTTCAGCGCGCAGACATGAGAGTAGGGATGAGTATCGTTTGGGTTTTTCCGATACCGATCCTAAACAGCCTGAACCCAAACACAACTGACAACTTCAAACTATGCACAATATATGAACTTTTGAAAGTTTACAGTATGATTACAGTGTTTCCCCTCTGTAACAGCAGAAGTGTAGTTAATTGGAATTTGGGGAATATTAATCATTTAATTTGAGATTCATGTTCATTGTGCAGGAACTAAAGACATTTATTGAAAAGCATTTACGTTAGATTGACGCCCCTTGTTTGTCTCAAAGTATTGACGTGCAACACAGAAGAGCTGCATGAGGCACGAGAGCGCATCGCTTTTCTATTGTGTAGAAAAATAAATACGAACAGAAGGTAGATGGCTAGCTAGCTGCTGTAGCTACACAAGCGGTGAGCCATCGTTAGCTGCTGCGAGGACAGAGTTATCAGGCTGTTTCATTAGGGTGACCAAACGTCCTCTTTTCCCCGGACATGTCCTCTTTTTGAGACCTAACAAATGCGTCCGGGATTTTGCTTCGTCGTATATTTGTGTTTCTCTGGGTCTTTCACAAACTAGTTATTACGCCCATACAAGTGTTGTAAATGGTGTCTCACTTACGTCCCACCTTCTTTCGCGAGCTCTGACTGTAGAGAGAACAGTCATTGGTCGACCGATCTCAATGTTGCCAGATACACGATAATTATCCTCCAAATACGACCATTTTGAGCCTTTGGTACGATACTTCACCATTTCCAATCTGGCAACACTGAGCACTTTGCCGCCTCCACTAGTTGCGTTGTTTACAGCACGTGACATCTGCAGACATGCCGAAACTAAAGGTAAGTTTACGGACGAACTAAAAGAAAATACCCATGTTTTCGCACATATTTTAATATGTGGCTATATAAAGTATTTACTATTTATTATTTGTTTATTTGTTATCATTATTGCTTCAATATATGGACAAGACACATTAAAGAAGCGCTGGACTAAATCCCACAAAAAAGATTTGTTTTACATTTGCACTTTTCAGTTTTGTTAAAGTTCAATAAATAGATGTTCATATAGTCATTTGTGTCATTTTTGTCATTTCATTTCACCAATATGGCACCGGTGCTCGGTACATAATCCTACATGAGAGTGGTCAAATCAACTATTGCTAAGTAAAGGTTTGGAATAGCTCAAATTCAACGAACAATATCTATTTAACTCTCATTCATTACCAAAACAGCTGGGCGTGGTGAAGTCTTTGGCCCTGCGTTTATTGGAGGCTGTTTAAGCCCTAGATGAGAAAAGTGCGCCTTCTGCTGGAGCACAATTGTTTCTTCATTCATCAAAATTTTAGAATAACTATTACTCGCACTGTCATCAAATCCCCCCAAATGTGTTTTGACATTCGACGGGGCATTTATTTGAGTTCTTGTGAGAATTTCACCGAACTGCTCCGCGGCGCCCACAAGCCGCGCTCCTTCCTCCTCCTCCTCCTCCGCCTCCTCCGCCTAGTGCTCGTGCAGTGCTGACACACAGGTGATGACGGTGTTTGTGGAATCCCCCGACGTCGTTTAGTGGTAAATTACTACCAGTACAGATAGTTTTAGGATGATAATAAAAGAAATAAGCCTCGCCACAGCTCCGTCACGTTCTACCCTGTCTCCTCCACCTGTCACTCACCTAATCAGTTCATTCAGTGCACCTGCTACTTATACACTACTGAGACATCACAAACACTACTGAGACATCACAAACACTACTGAGACATCACAAACACTACTGAGACATCACATATAGGAACGTTGGGATGGAAGGAATGAGCACAGGGACCAGACCCTCCTTAACATGTTGATCTTCACATCCAGTTCCTTCAGAGACATCTAGAGGCCAGCAGAGGACGTGCTGTCGGGAGAAACAATTCAACAGACTTTTTTTTTTTTTTTGAAGAGAGTTGTGTTTCACTGCTTCACTGAGTCGGTGTAATTCAATGCTGCTTGAGTTTGAGCCACATCTTCCCTCATATCGACATCAACACCCAGCAGGGGGAAAGAAAAGAGCGGGGAAGGCAAAGCTGTAGCATGTGTGCATGGTGGGTGTTTCTCACGGTTCTCCTCAAACCAATGAAGGCATATTTCCATCCCAGTGTGGCTCCATGCGCGGTGAGGATTATGTGTTTATCTTTATCATTAGCTTCAAACAGCTTTCCATCTACTTTTCTCATCGTTTCACAGAGTCTTGCATCATTTCTATCAATTACCGTGACATTGTATACAACAAAGACATGAAATTAGCATTCGGCACCAAAGCAGGAAGTCGTGTCTTGAGGACCACTCTGTGGAACAAACATTCCCGAGAAGAAATCCTGGACACGTTCTGCGTTCCCGTCCCAGTGAATGCACCACATCCAGCAGGAGCCCTGCAGCGTAGTCAAGGGAACGGCTTGATCCGCCACTGAGGCCCAGTCTGCTGTCGCCTTTCATGGCCTAGATTCTGTGTGAACGCACACGCATTCACTGCGCCCACTGACCTGCTCTCTTAAAGAGACCCCAGTGCACTAATGTGCTGGACTCATCTGAGCCTCCACAACCCCGTCAGACAGCCAGCGCTGCCGAGCCGAGCGGCTCTGCTATTTTACCCTCACTGGTCAGAATGAGGAAGGTCAAGGTCACTTGTTGGTTTGTGCTCAGGGTTCATCTCGTCTTCTGAGACCAGAGAGGGAGAGAGAGATTTTAGAATGACTTGGATGAAATGATTTGGGATATTTTTAACGTTATAATAAACCTTCAAGGCTTATGTTTCTCTTAAGTCGTGGCGTCTTACTGGCCAATAGACATTTGAACTAACACAATGTCTCCTGACTTAGATTTAAACTTTGGACGTTGAAATGACATCAGATGTCAGATTTAATTCCTGTCAAAAACATCCATTGGAATAATATATAATAATAATATGTATATAACAAACTGTATTTGAAATGTTTAAGTGAGTTGATTTCATTTGATTTTCCTTGTATAATCCTCACTACTTGGACGTCCTGTCTCATGCTGCACGACACCTAAAGAACAGGCCGACACCCAGAGTTCCCATTCCCTTTATTAGATATGGTTTATAAATAGACACACTCAGACACATGTTGAAAGTATAAAAAATACAAGATTACAGAATTTTCTAGATATTTTAGTGAGGTCTCTTCTTCATAATCTTTGACACGTTTTTTTAAACTTCAGTGACGAAAATGTGTTTATTTTTTCTTACACAGCATAGTAGTTTTCACTTTCACAAAATCATTCATCAAGCAATTTACTGTCATCGATGTCATGTTAAAATGATCAAAGCATTAAAAACAGTCGCATGCAGCCAACAACCTCTGTACAGCGCGTCCTGTCAGACAGTCGATTGCTGTAACTCAAATATATATGTACTTTAAGTTAAATTGTCTTAAAACGTGTCAGGAGAGCATCACTGATATCACAAGGGAAGAGGTTGAAATGGGGAAGAAAGGTTAATAACTGGGAGAAAACGGCTTATTAAGGACTGATTGACAAATGCCCCCCTTTACTTCTTCCAGATGTGTAGTTATTTCACAACGGGGGTCAAACCATTTTTAAATAGTTTTGATTTTAGCACACAATATGTTTCAGCTGCACTTCCTCACCAGAGTGCTGGCAGGGAAATGAGGATTCAGGACGCTACAATAACAAAATCAAGAAATGTATTTATCTTGAGAGACGAGGCAACACGGCTGAGTTGCATTGAAACATGTTTCTAAAAACAATAAATGAGCTATGCAAAGGTTCTCATTGGCTAAAACCAAATAGGACAATATAAATCACACATGTAATAAACCTAGTGCAGCACAAATACACAACTAATGTCTTCTCAAGCATTTATATACCATATAGCTACTGTGCCAGAGCTGGCTCACCTTGTTCTAAGGACAATAACTCCAGCTGCTTGTTCATATCTTTTTTTGTTTGTAAATATATCTAAAAATACAACTCATCAACTTCAGTGTTTTATGACATTGCATGATTTACTTGGCTTTACAGCAAGTATTCTTTTTGTCACTCCGACTATTCACAGTGTTTAAAACTGAACAGCACCTACGATGTGGCTGCTGACTGGCACCATTTCAAGAGCCGACGTGGAGGTCAGCAGAGAAGAAGGAATTAAAGACCTTCCAAACTCTCCAAGATACGCTATTAAACTCAAAGAGCACAATGTTCACTTACTTCTACTTACCAACAATACGACTTTGTACCGGTTTATTGATGTTTAAAGTAGCACAAGTGTGACTTTTTCAGCTTTTATTGTTTTCTCATGATTTGCTTTGCCACTAAAACTTTCAATAATTGATCTCAATTTCATTTCAAAACATTCTCTACAGATGTGTACAATAATATAATAATTATAATGATATATAATTATAATACTATATATAATTATATATTAATAATTAACTAAAACAACTATAGGAATGTGGTACTTAAGTCATGAAGCAACTTTGCATAGAAAGTGTTTACGTGGCTAAGAAAATAATGTTTAATATTTCCTGTATGATTGACCACTTGAGTCAAATATGAAAAGATTGTAATGTTATACTCACAGAAATGAACTCTCATTTAAATAGGCTAAGCTGAAAAAAACTACATGTATTGCTGTTCGGTTGTATAAATCAAAATATCATAATGTCAGTAGGTAATCCCTGCTAAAGAGAATGTGGTGTAACAGTGGATGACCAGGATACAGACTAACCATGTGCTTGTTAGAAATTTTAAAACAACTGATGTACTGTACTCATTCCGCACCTGACAAGAAGTATTCTGAAAAAGAATAATACTGATCAAGCAAACATGAAGATATATATATATATATATATATATCATTCTGATAACAAAATACGTATCTACAAATGTTTATAATTGGATTGATATATAAATATGTGTAACAATATATATGTATTTCTATACATATATATTTACAACAAAAGGTGCACTTAAATAATGTCATCAAGGAGATGCGGAGTACCTACCCAGTCCAACGTCCTGGGCTCCGATGCAGCCATAATCATGCACATGAACTGTTTACCGGTCCTCTTATCGATAGGATAAATAGTTGTGGGTGTGAACCTTATGTTATTTTCCACAAACTCACAGAGCTGCTGATATACCTGTGGGTATTCATGGCGTAGGAAAACGCCTCTAATCCTTAACTCCCGTTGTATATTTATAAAACAGATCTCCCTGGCCTTCCTGCCCTCCTCTCCCTCTTTGTCGATATCTGCTGTCCCAGGCGGTGGGGTGAGGATCAGCGTCTCCATGTCACTCTCTTTCTTGTGAACCTTTCTCTCCGGACTGAAGGAAGCCAGTGCTACCTTTGCATATTTTCTGACCGTTGGAGCTTGGTTTCTTGGAGATGGCCCGTCAGGCAACTGGTCGCCAACAGCAATGGATACATTCAAGATGAAACATTCGTTAGGGTCGTACTCCGTGCCAGCTTCCTGTAGCTCCTTACAGTACTCCCCTAGGTTGTCCTTGAAGCTTTCAAGCTCTCGGAGAGACAGGTACGTAGGAGACATAAGCAGACTGTCCAGGCCATATTGCAGGAATTTACTAGATGACACAGGATTTGGAAAACCAAGGAATAGAACGCCTCTACCTCGAGAAAGGTAGCCAACTTTGGCGATACGGGAGAAGGCTTTGTGGACTTCAACAGTCTCCCGGCAGTGTTTGATGATGTGACGGCATATGCTGCCAATTCTGCCGTACAGGCAGCTTTCTTTATGTGTGTCCCAGTCTTCCCTGCGGCAGTTACGGGAGCAATAGTAAGTGTAGCAGCTGTGGCAGGATTTAAAATATAGGCAAGCATTGAACAGGGTCTCCGTCCTTCGGCATTTGTTGTTCGAGCACATCATTGTATCATCCTCATCTGGGCTCTGATCTGGAGAGCACTCATCTGCACTCTTCATTGCATCACTGGCTCCGTCCATGTCCCGAAAAGCATCAGGATTCATTCTTATTGAGGTTGGCTGCTTGTCAAGAGGAGGTGGTTCGTCTGTATATGCCTTTGAGCTCTTTCTGGACAGAGATACTGCTTCCTCCTCATCAATTAACTTCTTTAGTTGATCAAGAATGTCTTCACTTGCCCTTCTACTGGGCGGCTTGTAATCAGTCACAAGATCAGCCAGAAGTTCATCAAGTTGCTCAAGGCTTTGTTGTAGTGAGGCATTATCATGCATCTTCTCTTTGGTTGAGCTTTCAAAGTCTCGCTGAAAGGGTTCTGGACCCTCAGTGCTTCTGGAGTCAAGAATGTCCCAACTGGCAGACCGTCCTTCAGCCTTATTAAGTTTCCCTGGTCGAATGTCATTGTCAGTGATTGTTATTTCAGGAGTGACAAACCAAAGTTTACTAGTAGGGCTCTTTGATGTCTCTGTTGGGCTTTTGTCAATCAGTGAGCTATCAGACATTGATAAGGCTGCATAGCGTCTTGGTGAACTGGAAAGATTGACTACCACAGGTTGTGGTTTATCCCCTGTGGCTTCTCCGGGTTTCCTGGAGTCAAGAAGATCGTCATAGCTCTGACCCCGCTGTACAGTAAGAGGTTGTTCCCTCTCTACACGAGAGTTGAGAATATTGTCCCAGGACCTCGAGTAAGATTTTGAATCGGTGCCAATTCTTTGCGGTTCTACACATGGGTTGGCGTACCATGGTGTTAACACAGGCTCTTGACGAACTCTGGTTGGTGTGACTTGGGATACATAAGAGGCAGGATTGGTGGAATAACCAGATGCATCTGAGCCATACCAGTCTGTTTGTGCTGGAATAACTCTAGCATGTCTTCGGCCTTCCGTGTAATACGCCCTTGCTGGAATATGATGCTCTGGTGGCATTGCATACATGTCGCTGGAATAATAAAACCTTGGAGGAGCAGTCTGGATTTGATAAGACCTTGGATCATCCCCATAAAACAATCTAGTTGGAGGTGTCTGTATGATGTATGGCCCTGGTTCACTTGCTGCATAAGGTTTGGAATGCCCTGCCTGCACAGAGTATTGATAGGGCTCCATCTCAGGATAATAGGGTCTTGTAGTTATAGCATGTACCATTCGAGTCCTTGGATCTTGCACATACTGCACTTTTGGAGTATATGTTTGTCCTGGTGTGTAACGTTCATCATGAAAGCCAGAACTTGGTTGGGGAGGAGCAGTAGTCACATATCTCCCTGGATCATCTGCATAAAAGAACTTAGTTGGCACATTGGGACTGGAATGAGCTCTGCGTTCCCTTCCATGGTAATCACCTGATGAAGGCATTCTTTGCAAGGGAATCTCCATGGGTTGCATGTAACTATTTGGCATGCTGCGGGAATATTGATAAGCTTGCCTGCCCTCTGTGCCTAATGAGTCCGTGGGAGTGGATGTTCTTGAGTAGGAGAAATGGCGTGGTACAGTCCTACTCCTGCCCCCACCACTGTGGTGCCTCTGCCAGGGTATGTCCACTTGTTGTGTAGCCGGTTTTCGTCCTGTATGATGTAATGGCGCATCATCAGGTTTTATGTCAACCCGACACCTTACATGTGGGCTAGTTGCTGGTTTATCCAGCCCTGCATCTTCAGAATTATCAGCGGCATATTGTGGTGAGTATCTGCTGCTGTCACCCATTTGAGGCTGCAACTTAATGGGATGAAGTCCATGCATATGAGCCCTGGTTGCTGCATGGGAGGACTCCCTACGCGGTGATACCTCAGGCCTCCAGCGAGAGTCCCTTGGAGACCTTTGGGATTCCCGTCCCTTCCTCCCTGAAGATGACGAACCATCAAAAGACACAGGGGTGAGACTGGTCTGCACTCGAGGGGCACTTTTGGACCTGGTTCTTCTTTTTTGTTCAGGTACAATGACTTCACCTTTCATATCTGCGGCCATTGGTTGAGGGGTTAATCTGTGGCTGAAAATGTCCGGAGCAGAAAAGCGGTATTTCTGCTGGCGGCCCAAGGCATTCCAGACCACGTCTGGGTTGGCTGCATGCCTATCAGCCTTCTTGTATGGGGACTCCATTGAGTATTTGTGTGATTTGGGGTATTCCAATGACCTGTAGTCAAAGGAACGGCACTGCCTCTTATTGACTTTGCTCTTGCTGTCCTCCAGTGTGCTGTAATTTATAAAATCACATTGTTTGGAGGGTTGCAGGGACTTGTAATGTGAAGAAATGGGGACCACTTTAATATCTTGACGCACGGTTGTCAGTATGTCAGGAGGGTCTGTGCGTGTCATCTTAAAGGGACTCCTCTAGTTTTCTCCATCAAGTTGCTTTAATGTTGATGTTGCCTGCAGAGGGGAGCAGAGAATTTTAGTTAGTTTAAAAAAAACAGGAAACAGGAAACACAATTTTTTCCCAACAATTACGTATGGAGAAGAACCATACTAGACCAAACTATAGCAGACATATTCAACCATTTAAAATATGTATATAATTCAATATATGTATATAATGAACTTGCAATAATGTTTCATTTAGAATCATGCTGGCAGGTTTATTCAATTCAATATTTTTGTGTTCTAATTTAAGTGGTTTAGGGGCAGTGAAAGATTTCTGAGGGACTTCAGCTAATATGATACACCAACAGCATCTCCAAAACCGCCTTCTTCCACCTCAGGGACATTGCACGCCTCCGGCCCTCACTGTCTGCTGCCACCACCGAAAATCTCATGTATGGCCTCATAACCTCCAGACCTGACTATTGCAACAGGATCCTCTGCGGCTCTCCCAACCAAATCCTCAATACACTCCAGTATGTTCAGGACACCCCCGCTCGACTGCTCACCTCCACCCGCCGCTGTGAACTCGTGATCACCCCGGTCCTACGCAACCTCCAAGTACAGGATGGACTCACCACCTACAGGCCAACAACCTCGCATCCTCCCCCTCCATGCCCCTACCCGAGGCCTGCAAACTCCCTAAAGACCATCAGGACCAAGTGATTGGAAATGGGATATCATCTCAATTGTAATATTAAGACTGATTAACATCTTATTCTCTACCATTCTCAACAAATACCCCTGAGGCTAGTAAAGCTTGTGATATATAAAAATATAAGACCATGACATCACATTTAAATGCCTCTAAATGTGTTCATTCATCTGACAATGAGCAATAACAGTAGTGATGAACTGCAAGCAACCAAGCCAACCTGCTCATATCGCCCAATGTCAACGTATCAAAGGACTTTACCCGCCCACCACTTTGCAATCAGTATCAGGGGAGAACTTTGTTCAGGTAACCAGAGGAGTTTCTGACAACTACACACGCAACTGAGCGTTGCAGCAGCGGATGGAAGTTTACATTATACACACAGAAAAAACATGCAATGAGAGATATTTATTCAGAGGAGAATAAAGATTTAAAGCAATTTACAAAATCAGCAGAATGCTGGAAATAGGTTTTCCACATAACTCCTGGAGAATGAACCCGAGACTCACAATATTCACATTAAACACACCGATATCAGAACCATTGCAGAAACAGAACCATTTATTTAAGTATGGTGGTTCATAAATTTTGACAATAAAACAAGAATTTAGAATATTTAAACCAACCCGCCGCCGGTCATGGGTTAAAGGTCATTCCCCACTTTCGCTGATGGCGACTTACATTGGCTTATGTCAAGGATTAGCAAAAGGCAGAAGAAAGCCTTTGATGCCAGTCGCTAATGACTCGCAGCACAGTGAATGACGCTTTCTGCTATTCGGTGCTTCTGATCCCACCGGCTGCAGACGCCACTACATGAATTTAACACGGGATTTTAAGGGCAGCAGTTTCAAAGTATGCAGGAATTAAAATAATACTCACTGTACATAATAATAAAATATGAAAGCTGCTGAAACCTGTGTGCGACCCCTGCAGGAGACAGAAGCTGACCCAGATGGAGCACCTGGTGGAGCAGACGCTCAGCCTGGAGCAGACGGAGGACGAGGACGCCGTTGACATAGCTGATGTCTTCCTAAAATCCTGTGGCAACTGCAGCCAAGTGCACATTTGTAAAAGTCCCTTTAAACTGTCTGAGAGCAGCTTCTGTCGCGTGAAGGTCAAGTACAGATTGAATGTTAATTAAAAGAACGACACGCCTCGTTCCAGTCCAGCAGACTGTAAATACCATCGGCCCACACGTGACCATCATGGAGATCCAATACGAAGCCTACTTATGGTTATAATGTGCATGAATGCTCAATCACACACTCTAGTGCCACTTCACGCAGACAAAGATGATGTTGAACAACACATTTAAAATATTAACGTAATTTTCTGGAGTGATGATGAAACATTAGTTAAACGTTGTACCCCTGAAATCAAGGTTAAAAGGCCTGGAGGGCAGGGCTGGCAATGCTCTAGACTTTATAAATCACTCAACTCTGAAAAAAGCTGGAAGATTCTAGTAGTGATATTCCAATAACAAAGTGTTTGTTTCAGAAGGATTCATAAAATGCCGTTCCATGTTGTTCGAGGATGCCGCGTGGGCACAGATGGCGGCGTGCAGTGAGCGTTACTCTGCCTTCACACTCTGTCTGTCAGCTTCCCTGCAAGTGGCCTGTCAGCATCACGTGACGTCATTGAGCGTGAAAACAGAGACTAGTCTCAGTAACAGTCAAAAAAAATAGATATTTGGACTGTCGTAGAGACGTAGTGTAGCAGTGTTACTTCTGGTCAGTGGTCATAGCGAGCACTGTTTTGCGTGTTGCATTGTGGGTATTTGCTGTGGCTGCACCACTGGCACTGAACACGGGCAGAACTGGTCGAGGCGCTCGATACTTTCCCTCCCCCCAGATTCACGACTCCACACTACTAAGAGTTAACATTGCCGAAGAATCCAAACGTCCACACTGAAAACAAAAGCGTCTAACAACCACAGACTGCATAGAAGAAGTGGGCGTGGGCGGCGTGAAGTCCCCCATCTTTAGTCAGGACGTTTGGACCCTCGCCATCGCCACGTGTTGCCAGCAGTGAACAGAAGTTACTGTATTTGGACTTTGGAGGAGAGACGTAGTGTTTTCCATCACTCCTCAAGCCACGACTACAGGGTGAAAGAATCGGCCGGCTCAGTTTAGAACTCACGCAGGATTTTATAACTGACAGAAGCAGGTACAGTTACAACGTGAATTGAATATTTTGCACAAGAGGGAATCTTCTTCTCCGGGGGCTCTGGTATCTCGCGGGGGTGCGTTCACTATTTTATGTGATTGGCTCCACATCCGAGAGTAACTCCACCAGGTTGGTCACCGTTACCTTCCTCTCTAGCTCCATCTGCTGAGCGGACCTGGACTCGCTCGCTCTCCTCAGCTCGTCAATGTCACAGTACACCCAGTGAACAAACCGTAAACATCACATGGGATGTAATACAACACATTCATTTATAACCTCATGAAGTGAAGTCAAACTCTCACAAGCCCGTCTATGGGGATGAAATAAGGAGGAAATCCATCAAACGAGGAGTAGACATGGTTCCTCTACCAGGATGAACATGACGTGACGGATGTCATGTGGAAAGCATTAAATCACTTACAAGATATACAATATGTTTAACTCATAATACAGACATGATTATACGATCTAATATCACACAAACTGTACTTCTACCACGAGTCATGACACATGTTATCATTCCTACTGCTTGACCTCCTAACACAGGCACACGGCGTAAACCCTGTTTAACCCACTATGTTGCTTTTATCACAAATGAGGTCATATGTCCGTATCCTGCTCATGCTGCTACAGTAAGTCGGTTCCAGTACAGAACGGCAGTGACACTCAGCAACATGCTAAGAAGAACCTCCATTATGCTCCTGTCAGCGAGCGGTGCTTTGTTGGTGCTCTGTCGCCCTCAGCGCTGCAGAGAAAGAAGCTGCTAGTTGAGGGACAAATAATAATTGGGCCTTTCAAGCTTGAGAGGAGATGACGTTGCATTATTATGGTCCCTTCAACTGTGGGCTCGTGGAGAGTAAGTCTGCTTCCATCTTGGACTAAATGTCTTTACGTGACCGTGACACATGACACACAAACCCGTGCAGAAATAAATAATGAAAGAGTAAATAGCTGTGGGTTGTTTGGATGTAAACACACACGTCCGCTCGAAGGAGAGGCTTTCTCCTTACTTCTCATCACATATTGCAGTTTATCAGTGACACACAGGTCTGCATCCGTCTCACCATTGCTCCTGATTCCACCGGCGTGGCCTCCGGCATCACGCTGCTCGGCCTCTTGACACAATTACACGTGAACTGGCCAGATTCAGCTGGATAAATCACGGTTCCAGAAACCATCTGTCGCGATGCATCATGAGTCCGTAGTTAACTGAGAGACCGAGAGGCTTCTTGTTTCAGCCGCACCTGCGTGTTCTCTGCTAAATCAGTGCTGTTTCACACATAACGTTGGTCTGAAAAACCGATCCGGGCTGAAAGAACTGACACATGTTGCTATTGAGTGACCGCTGGCCTTTTTCTTTTTCATCATGGATTTCCCCACACCAGTTACACCAAATCCATCCCCATGAATATGATCCTTAGTTTACTGGGCTGGTTGGTGTGGTATCCTTTGCCTATTGACATCTCGTCATGCATGTGCATGTAAACTCCAGCATCGAGGCGAACAAGCTGACAGTTATTTGAGGTTCTTGGGAAAACACGGCTCATATTAATTCGATTTTTGTTCCGGCAAACAGGCGCCATTCATCTCCATCCTGCAGTGACACCGAGCAAACAGTGTCTCACCTCAAGCCAGACGAGGGAAAAGGCAGAAGAATCCCAGCAAGATAACAAAAGCGTAAAAGAAAGCACAGAATATATTGTGATAAAATGGTAATCTGCATGAGAAACGATGGAAAAGCACAAACTAAATTGTCCTTATAGAAATACATTTGACCCTGGAAGCGGTGAATCATTGTTAGTACTTTTCACACATTCTACTACTCATTGTTCTAGTGCTACTGACCCTTTGTTAACCTATATAACTAAAAACTGGTAAACCCTCGTTCCGCTCTGCTCTCTCCCTTCCGGCCACGTTGTCACCACACACCAACTATTGACGGCAGGGGGCCGCGAGCCGGAGGGCCCGGCCGAGGCTGCAGCGCATGCGCCGCGGGTCGATTCGACATCACGCGTCTACTGCTCGGTCCTTCTGCCTCCACACACAGCGCGGCAGCAGGAGACGTGGCTAAAGCCCCCAAAGCCGGGTTCGGACGACTGCTCCAGCGTCCATTGACAATACAGGCTACGAAATAGAGAGACAGCAGTTGTTTTTCAGTACTTCTGTGGAGCGACTTTATTTACCAGCAACTAACAATACGTTCTTGTCCCTTAACTATGCCCCTCCAGGACTCATTGCTTTTTGAGTTTTAATCAGTCATAGGATGGATAAACCTTCTTCAGGGACATTGTAAGCACTTATCCTCCTATTGAGAAACCCACATATGCATCAACAGGGGGGAAAAAAATATAATGATCTGTGAGTTGGCTGACAAAAAGTAGTGGATATGCATGATGCTGTAAATATTCATTAATGTTGAGACGAATGAGCCTGCAGACAGGGTTTAAATGCAGAAGAGTCGAGGCAGCAAATGGATTTGTAGAAGTCTCATAGGCGCAGACAGCAAACTGATCAAATACCCAGAAAGGTTCAAATGAAGTATACGAAGATATAAATAACCAGCATACTCAATGTTCCCTGTAAAGATCCCAAATTTGATCAAAGACAAGAAGGCCCTGAGAGTGCTCCGTAGTGTGCCGAGTTAAATCTCCCACCGCCGTGAATCATGGGTGGATTCTGCTTTGGGAGCGTTTGTTTTACGATGTTCCCTCGCAACTCCGCACCGCTCCACCGGCGCACGCGGCTAACTGACCGCCGTTAGCGTCCTTGCACCAACTCCGGTTAAAACAATTTTAACTTTATTAATTGAAACAGTATTTGGATGGACAGCTAAGGAGCTAACGCTTACATTAACATCATTAAATCACCTGAAAACATGACATGATCATTTTTAATAGTTTTACTGGATAGTTAGCTAAAAACTATCAATTTAGATTTGGCTTTAGCGTTAGCTTAATTTACCTTACTTCTACCAATATATGAATAATTTATGTTATATGCATTGAATGTAATGTATATATATATGTATGTATATATATACTCACACAAAATACGTTCAATGCATATCATATATATGTATCATATATATATAAAATATACGTATATTCTAAATCAATTGCACTATGTGAGTCGATTGGTCATGCATATCATTAAATACTCAATTAGTACGTTATTTAAATCCTTCTCAAGTTTGATTGAATTGATTAACAGATGTAATAACCTCACATCACTGTATTCCAAGCTGCACTGGAAATAGAACGTGTCAGCGGTCTATCTGTCCGTCCGTCCGTCCGTCTGTCTGCGGCCTCTGTACAACATCTGGCTCTCCCGCCGGTGTCCTCGCGCCGGCGCCTCCTCGCGTACCGGCGGCCCCCCGGTGCCGAGGGCCCGGGTCCCCCCGACGCCCGGACTGCGTCCAGAAGCGAGCCCCCGTCCGGCCGAGCGCGACGTCAGTGTCCGGGGACCCGGCGGGGGGTCGCGTGCACCGGGAGGCCACGAAGACAACGTCACGCTGTTCGCAAATTACGGGCACGTTCGATGCATTTCAACGTGCGCGCGGATGCCAAAGCAGAGGCGCACACGCGTATCGGGGCGGATGCGCGTCTGCTTGAGCATCGCGGCGATGTCACACGAGATAAGGTCCCCGTCGCCCGGGGGAAGCTGCACGTCTTACCGCGTCGCTCCAAGCCCCTGCTGATCCGGCTCTTTCCGTCACGGATGCGATCGCGCTTCCCCGATGACGACATCGGACATGTGCAAAAGGTAGAGCCGCAATATCCGCCTTTTCGCTCACATTCCCCGGGTTATTTCCCTCTCCTCTTCCTCACGCCACACACCGTTGGTTGATTTCTGCGCAACCCCGCTGCACCATCCACATCCCCCCTCCCCTCGAGCACACACACACCCTCCTCCCTCCCTCCCTCCCTCCCTCCCTCCCTCTCCCTCTCTCCATCACGCCTGCAGCATTGACTCGAGCCGCTGCAAACCTCCATCACCAGCTTCTCTGCCTCTGTGATTTCCTCCGTCTGTTTGACCGTGACACACATATTTCCACCAATGACCGTTTGTTCACCCGTCAACACGTGGCCCTCCGTGACCTTGACCTCAGCGCCAGTCAGGGCTATACGTGTGCTTCCGGTGTTAGAGTCCATCGTTGTTTGTTGTTGGTGAGCAAAGGTCGCCTTGGTCTCCTACGACTATTTGGGTTTTTTGATTGTTACATCAATACTCAGCTATTTCACATATCATACAATATAAATGTCAGACACATTTCATATAGTGTTTCATATAAATGTTCATTTCTATGGATTTCCTCGTATCACGGCCACAAATATTAGGTTAGATTAAAGTGCAGCAGAACTGTCTGTCATTGCACGTTCAATTTGAAATAGTGTATTCCTGTTAGTGGCTTTTTGTACCTCTCCACACGTTACAACAAATGTCATAGAAACACACAACAGGAGCTACTTCTTCTTCCTTGTAGGTGGCGCTGTTGAGCCGGTTTCAAAGCCAGGGCAAATATTTCAATAGAGTGAGTCTTTGAGCGCTTACATTTATCTTTCAGTTGGTGCTTCACCGACGCAGCAAATCCTCCTTGAATAATTAAATATTTGTAATATTTGCATAAAAAATGACTAAAACCAAATGTGAGGGGTGGGAGCTTAGGACCTGGGAGGCTTAAACTCAAGGAGAGCCTCTGTCTGCCTCTGCCGCATTTGTGTGCGTTGGTTATTTTAGCCTTTAACAGTGTGCAGTGTTTTATTGTTGGAAGTGTCATTGTTGCCCCCGGTCGATCACTACTGGTATAAATTATTTGGATGTGGTTTTATAAAGTTATTGTTTAAATAAAAGTGATATTGCATTGTACACGCAGAAGCCTCTGTCTATGATGTATGTATGGGGTTTTTGGCCAGTAAGATAATTGAATTCAGCGTCTCTCCCCTCCAAAGAGAGTGGCCTTGTCACGTCTGGATAGTATTTTAAGTGTCCATTTGGTCACACAAATAATACATTTGTATATTAATCCAATATTAAGAGCATATCCCTGTCTAAAATAATTCTAAAATAAATATGGAAGAAAAGTGCACAATATCTCTGCTTGTGTTGCAGTGGAGGAGAAGTATAAAGTAGCATGAAAAGAAAAATAATCGGCTAAAGCAAATTCCTCCAATGGCAGCGTGGGAAATCATTTTTGGGAATGTCCTCATTATATCCGCACACTTTTATGAATCATCGAACGCTGATAAAAAAGGAAAACGATGTCTGGCGGTTGCAGGAATAAGCCTGTGGAGGGCTGCACATTATCCTGATATCACACAGGAGGACACACGTTACCAACGTTGATACATTAACGCTGCACCACTCTGTGGCCGCTCAAATATTGTTAAGTGACAAAACCCACTGTTGCCAGGCAACAACAGCCAGGTTTGGGTGTTTGGAGGGGCGGGGCCTATGTAACTCATAAGCTAATATAGCTTTGATCTTGATGACACAATCAAGAATAACTTTGGAGTAATTCAAATTATTACTTGTTCTATAATATTATAAATAGCCTATAAGCTGTTCATACATTTGTGTTAAATAAAGAGAGCGGTACGTGAGCCACAACAACACCGCCAACATACTCACACTTTAACACATCATCTGTGTGTCCAACAGATCTGCTTCGATATGGATGAAAGTAGAACGTCAGAAAAAGACGTTCTGGACGCTATAAGCCTTTGTTCGGTTGTGTGCCCACCCACTGGAACTGTTAGGTTCCAAAAATAGAAAATGTTATGAAAATGTCCTGTTCAATACAAGGAATAGTAACAGAAGCCTATTTGGATAGTGGGTCCACAATGACTGGTTGGTTAATGAGAAATGGATCAGGGATCATTCACCTGGTATTAAGTATAAGTTTAATGAGAACGATATAAAAACAGGCATCATTCCAACAGTTCAATTCATTTTATTTTGTAGAGCCCAAAATCGCAAATTACAAATTAGCCTCAGAGGGCTTTACAGTCTGTACACATACAACATCCTCTGTCCCGAAACCCTCCTTCGCACAGGAAACACTCCCCAAAAAATGAAAAAACCCTTCCAAGAGGGAAAAAAGGGATGAAACCTTAGTGAGAACGTCAGAGGAGGATCCGTCTCCTGATGGACAGACTACAATGACGTCATGTGTACAGAATGAACAATGTATAATACATGAGACTATATGACAGAAATGATTCAAGTAACTGTGAGTAATAAACCAGACGCACAGCAGGACCACTGCAGGGACCACCACCACCACTACATCACATAGAACCACCATCAGATAGAACCACCATCACATAGAACCACCGTCACATAGAACCACCGTCACATAGAACCACCGTCGCATAGAACCACCATCACATAGAACCACCGTCACATAGAACGACCATCACATAGAACCACCATCACATAGAACCACCATCACATAGAACCCCCATCACATAGAACCACCATCACATAGAACCACCGTCACATAGAACGACCATCACATAGAACCACCGTCACATAGAACCACCGTCAGATAGAACCACCATCACATAGAACCACCATCACACAGGACCACTGCAGGGACAACCACCGTCACATAGAACCTCCATCAGATAGAACCTCCATCAGATAGAACCACCATCACATAGAACCACCATCACACAGGACCACTGCAGGGGCAACCACCATCACATAGAACCACCATCAGATAGAACCACCATCACATAGAACCACCGTCAGATAGAACCACCATCACATGGAACCACCATCACATGGAACCACCATCACATGGAACCACCATCAGATAGGACCACCATCACATGGAACCACCATCACATAGAACCACCGTCACATAGAGCCACGTCACATAGAACCACCGTCACATAGAACCACCGTCAAATAGAACCACCGTCAAATAGAACCACCGTCACATAAAACCACGTCACATAGAACCACCGTCACATAGAACCACCGTCACATAGAACCACCATCCACAGAAGCCTGTGGGGAGGGAGAGCACAGAGACTTTATTAGAGGGCAATGTTGGTTTACGAGTACGGTAATATGATTAATATCTAAAATAATGATGATGATGATGATGATGATGGCAGCAGCAGGCGTCAGCAGGGCCACGGTAGGTGTCAGGACCAGGGTCCAGAAGGAACCACGATCTACAGAGACCTGAAAAAACTCCCGGAAAGAAGCTGAATTAGTCATGTGCATTAATAAAACGTGAATTATGGTAGAACGAGAGCGTGAGAGAGGAGCTCGGTGTGTCCTAAGAATTCCCCCGGCACTCTAAGCCTATAGCAGCTTAACTAAGGGCTGGTCCGGACTAACCTGAGCCAGCCCTAACTATAGGCACAATCAAAGGGGAAAGTTTTAAGTTTTACTTTAAAAGAGCTGACCGAATCTGCCCCCCGGACTAAAAGTGGAACCTGGTTTCACAAAAGAGGAGCTTGATAACTGAAGGCTCTGGCCCCCAGCCTACTTTTTAAAACCATAGGAACAACAAGTAACCAGCATCTATGGAGCGCAGCTGCCTTGTAGGGCAATAAGGTGCTACAAGCTCCTTAAGATACGACGGTGCCTCACAAGCAAGTGCCTTGTAGGTGAGGAGAAGTACCTTAAAATCTATTCTTGATTTAACAGGGAGCCAGTGCAGAGAAGTTAATACAGGAGTGATATGATCCCTTTTCTTAGTTCTTGTTAATACACGTGCTGCAGCATTCTGAATCAACTGGAGAGGCTTAAGAGATTTACAAGAGCAGCCTGATAACAGAGAATTACAGTAGTCCAGTCTGGAAGTGACAAACGCATTAACTCATTTTTCTGCATCACTTTGAGACAGGAAGTTCCTGATTTTTGATATGTTACGTAGATGAAAATGGGCAGTCCTTGAAGTCTTCTTTATATGCGAGTTGAAGGTCATATCCTCGTCGAAGAGAACTCCCAGATTCCGTGGGCAGTGTGGGCAATAAATGGGCCATGTCACCCTGTCGGGTACAAGAAACTCACTTTTTACTTCAGCAATCTAATGGCAACGCAATGTCTTGGAAGGTCAATGTCCTCTATTCCCATCATTGGCACCAATGTACTGTAATCAGTGTCCTTGTCGCGGAGCACAGACTAAATCTACATCCTCGGGAAAGGGTTTCATCCACAGGTTCTTCTGTAGGCAAAGTCGTTTCCCTTAAATGCCGACAAAGGTCATCAGGGGTCATTGAGGAGCGTGAACCTGTGGGAGCTGAAGCAGCGCCTGGCTGGTATGTGAGCAAACAGAAAAACACCCTGACGACCTGCTCGCTTACCAAGCTCGTTTCCGCTGTCAAAAGCTTGTTCTATAGGACAGTTCCATGTTCCTTCTCTAACCCCAAGGAAGCATCCATCTTTTGCAACCTCCTTGATCCCCCCAGTTTCCCTCGACTCTTCTACTAAGCCACTTAGTCAATATTTTACAAAACAGAAAGATGGCATATAAGGGCTGCAACAACAAATCAATACAATTTTATTGTTCAGGAATCAGGAACATTTATTTAACATGTGGAGTGTGAAGGGGAGTGACCGGTGGAGTGTTGTAGTCAGTCAGTGGGGGATCGGCTCTGTTGATGAGCCTGACTGCCGACGGGAAGAAACTGTTGGTGTGGCGGGAGGTCTTGGACCTCAGCCTCCTGCCAGATGGAAGGGGCACAAACAGGTTTTGTCCGGGGTGAGAGGGGTCGGCTACCATCTTTTAAGCTGCTTCAGAGACCTGGAAGCGAACAAGTCGCAGCCGATCACCCTTTCTGCAGAGCGGAGGACACGCTGCAGCCTGCCCTTGTCCTTGGCTGTGGCTGCAGCGTACCAGACGGTGATGGAGGAGCAGAGGACGGACTCCATGATGGCCGTGTAGAAGTGGACCATCATCATCTTTGGCAGGTTGAATTCCTTCCATCATATTTAGTATGTAGTATCATATTGCACATACAGGAAATTGTTCTCTGCATTAAACCTGCCCTCACAGTGGGAGCAGTTAAGGGTTAGGTGTCTTGCTCAGGGACACTTTGACATGGGACACGGAGCAGCCGGGGTTCAAACCACAAACCCTGCGGTTCCCGGCGCTCCCTCTCTACTCCATGCACCACGGTCGAGTTGGCAACGATTTTCAATATTGATTCAGTTGTGTTGAAAAACCTTTGTGGCAAACCACTACTGTCTATGCTGCAGCTCAAGGACCAGGAACAATAAGCAAAGAGCACCCCCCCCCCCCCCGCCATCGCCTCGACACCCTTAATGATCAGGTTTGGGTTACACACACCTGCCAGTGATACGGGCGCGCATCTCGCTCTTCATGAATTATTACTCAGCTCATGAGTCGCGGTGAGCGTGCAGCCGGCAGGTGAAGCCTTCTCGGTGGACGGAGCAGCACCGCCAGGATGGACTTCTCTGCTCTGCCCAACAACAACCGCCCCGAGAAGTTCCTCCAGCTGGACATCGGCACGCTGCCGTCCACACGCGGCATGTTCCAGGTCGGGGCGGCCGTGTCCAGTCACAAACACTGGCAGAACCGAGTCTACTCCCAGGTGAGATGATTCCACGCGACGACTCAACGCAAAGACGCGCTTCACGCGTGTTTAGAAGACAATTCCGTTCAGTTGATTTTGCCTGAGCGCTTTACAAATAGTACGCAGATTATAAACCGGAGAACGAGGACAGGAAGACGGCGTGATGTAGAATTCAGACACAAGTCCAACTCTAAAAGTCCCCTTTACGCCAAGTTACTCAGATCGGAGAGCCTGGAGAACCGCGGTCAGGAATCTGCTTCCCAACTGACTGAAAATGTGATCGTTAACGAAGTAAAATGTAAACCATATTATTTATAAAACAATATACATTAGAATACTCATTTACTTACTCTTTGTAGTCATGTAGAGCCTTTTTTGGTCGTTCTACATTATTTTTAGTCACTTAGCGGTTTGTATCTATGTGTGTTTGGGTTGTTTTGTCCCTTTTCATAGTTATTGACTTTGTTTGTGTCTGTTTGCAGATCTATTTTTGATCTGGTTAGAGTTGTTCTGGTCTCTTTGATTTCTTTTTCTAACTAGAGTCGTTTTGTTTCTTCATGGTCTCTGAGTTTCCTGCAGTGTTTCTCTCTTTGAGGGACATTTCAGAGGTAAATACCAGGGGAGGCCCTGACACTTTTGGCCCTTGGGCGCCACATTCAGTGATCCCTCCAAGTCAATATGTGACACAGTGAAAAAGTTAAAAGTTGATGTGGTATTTTGGAGTTAATGCATGAATTCATTATTGCCAATAAATACCATAGCATGCTACAGCGCTCAGATGAACCCAAACAGAACAGAACCGACTGAGAAATGGAGAAAGGTAGCGACCTCCTTTCAATTGAATCAATTTTATTTTGTGCAGGCAAAAAGCACATATTGTATTATAAGCTCCTTAAGAGAAGGCAGTACCTCACCAGCCTTGTGCCTTGTAGGTGAGAAGTACCTTCAATTCTATTGATACCAAAGAATAATAATTGCAGTAATCATTTCAAATCTCTTCCGGACGGTGGTTGATAGGAACAAAGTTGTTAATAAACTCCACTGTCGTGTTTTAATACACACAGGGCGTGAAAACGAGCTGCTCTTAACTATTCGGGCAACTCAGCCATGACGTTCTCCCCCAGGTTGTTCCATCACCTGAACCCCCCCAGGGTCCTAAGTCCCTCCAGGTACTGCTTCTGAAAACACCAATAAGCATCGTGAACGTCGACGTATCAACATACGGAACACAACTACCGAACAGACTGTTTATGCTCTGATAAGAGACCAATGTTTATGCTGGTACCTGAAAAATAAGAAAACTGATTTATAAATGTTTTCTATAACAAACTAGATAAAATATGCATGCCCCAGTAGTGGCACACAGCTTTGGTTTTATATTTAATTTGATTATGTCATTTTTAAGGAGATTTATTTTAACTGCTACTGTGTTAAGGGATTGCCGCTGTTAAAAAGCACCTTAATAAAAATGTTGCCATGAAGTGTGCAACACACTACTTTTAAATTAATTGGGACATTTTATGATTAACCACAAAGAATCACCATAAAATCCAAATATTGCAATGAAAAAGCCAGCACTAATTTTCTTAGAATAACTATTACATAATAAATGGACTTGAGTCAAAGTTGGTCCATACTTGCCAGATAAAACAGAAGTTTTAAATTCGTATTACTAAAGATAACGATGGGTACAATTTGTATTTCCACAGAACATGTCAGTTATTTTTATGAGTTGGGGTGCTGGATAATACACGTATTCACACTGTTAAAACTCCTGTCAAAATAAAAGCAAGGAAAGCACAAATACAATGAAGAAACCCATTTGATGCCTTCTGGTTGTGTCTTCAGTGTCTTCGCTTTGTCTAACGAAGGTGTGGTGGATATGGTCACTGTCTCCGCAGAGGGTCAGGACGGGAGGCCGGTCTCCTCCATCCCCAGAGGCCCCTCCTGTGGCGTTTGAGGACAGATACCTGGAGAAGCACATCACACCAGTCACTCTGAAGGCTAACATTAAAAGGAACCCTCTGTTTATGGACACCAGAGCAACGGAAGACCACAGGAAGACCAAGCCCTCCTGGACGGTCAGGGAGTACGACACGCAGTCCATCTACGGGAACCTCGCTGATTATTTAAAGGTGATTTGTGGGAGGGGGAGCGGCTGTGGGTGATTGACAGGGTGGATATAGGGAATGGATTCGTGCCAAAACCAAGAAGTCAGAATGGGGAACTGATCAAAGAAAACACTTTTATATTATTTACTTATTGAATCGTTTATATTATTGATGGTCCCGTCTTCATTGACCCCCAGAACCCCCAAAATACAACACATCTGTGTAGCTACGAACAACGTATGCTTACCTTCACTTTCTTTGCAGAAAGAGGAAAGTACTCCGAGAGATCTGGACTTTTGGCTGGAGGATCTCTACACACCAGGATTTGACTCCTTGCTGAAGAAGAAAGAAGCGGAGCACAAGAGAAGAAAACTTTGCAAAATTGCTTCTCTAGTTATTTTGTCCGTTTGTGCCATCCTCATTGTAATCATAGTGCCACTTGTGGTTCTACAAAAGCGAAACTGACCGATGAGGACATTGGCGGTATAGAGGGTGGTTAGTTTTAGTGTAAGGAAGACTCACACATGCTCAGTGCATGTAAATGTTTGTTTAGTACAGATGTTGAAGGCCAGGCCTGCGGTTGATAAAGACATCATTAATTCTGCTCTCTTTTTATATATTTTTGCATAAATGGCGGCGGAATGATGTGTTGAAATGACTCTGCTGAGTCTCCTCTCCGAGGTGACTTCCTGCTTGAGCACCAGTTATGATTAGTTGAAGGGAGTAAAGATGGATTGATACTTTATTGATCCCTCAAGAGGGAAATTGTTTTATCACAGCAGCATGTACAGGGAAGGAAATAGAATTAAAAGATACACATTATAATAAGATAGAAAATATTAAATTAAAATAAGTAAACTAAACTGAAACAAAAGAATAACCTTCAAAAGAGACAATATTAATAATAATTTGTAAAAGGAGAAGAGGAAGAGCAGCACAGGGTTATTATTGTCATTATTTAGCCAGGGATGATTTATTGTAGAGTGTTATTGCACTGGGCAGGAATGACCTCCTGTATCGGTCCCTGTGACCGCGGAGCTGAAGGAGTCTGCTGGAGAACGTGCTCCGCTGTCCCTGCAGCAGGTGCTGCTCAGGGTTATTAGATGACTCAATTAGCAGTTTAAGATAGATACCGTGTACACTGACCGCATGCTTCATTAGGTTACTCCTGTTCCATCGCTTGTTGACACAAATGACTAACCAGCCGATCACATGGCAGCAACTCACTGCCTTCAGGCACGTAGACGTGAAGACGACTCACTGGAGTCATTCAAGCGACTTTAAGGTGGATGCTTGTTGGCGGCAGACGGGCCGGTCTCAGGAGGTCACGCGCTGCTGATCTTATTTGGCGTGAACGTGAAAGCATGGATCCCTCCTGCCTTGTAGCAACAGTTCAGGCTGGTGGTGTGGTGCCGTGGGGGATATTTTCTGTCCTTAGCAGGGGCGGACAGGGGGGGGAAAGTGGACTGGAAGACGCTGTCAGACCGGCCCATTCAACGCATCGACCAGTCAGTGGCCTACTTGGGAAAATACCCAAACCCTTAATAATTGTTTGGATGACTACAATGAAAATACATCAGGTGGTTTTTGGGGTCCATCAATTTGCCTGCATGGACACATGGAATGAAATGATGCTGGTTACTGTAACACTTCAGGGTAGCTATGGGAGGTTATGGTTATACGTAGAACTACAGAGCCCCTTCGTACCAGTTACACGTGGTTTAAACGTTGCATCCGAGTATTGTGGCTGACCGTGTCCGTCCCTTCTGCTTCCAGCGGCATAACGCACCACGTCACAAAGCTCCCAGCATCTCAAACCGCTTCCCGGAACATGACAGTGAGGTCACTGCACTCCGGTGGGCTCCAGTCACCGCGAGTCAATCCAATAGAGCTCCTTTGGGACGTGGTGGAACGGGGGCTTCACACGGGGGCCCTGAAGTGCACGACGGCAAAAAGACACACAGCTCGTCTGTCCAATCAGAAGGGTCCGTCCTCTGCTATGAGGCCCTCCCCTTTCCGTAAGGAGTTAATGTTGTTTTCCTATTCGCCGTCGTGTTTTGCACTTCAGGGCCACCGTAGATTCATAGATCTGCGTGATCTTCAACACCTGGTTGAAGGTATGTCACCAAGAATGAAGGCAGTTCTCAAGAAGGGGGGGGGGTCCAACCTTCCACTAGCAAGGTGGACCTAATAAAGTGGCCACTGAGTGTATATTGGGAAGTATAACAAGTTCTCTTGTGTCTTGCGGGGCAGAGGTACCGGCGTTGTGGTCCTGCTCCCTGGCAGGTGATATAAAGCTGAATGGACATCGTGCACGGGAGGAATCCGGCTGCAGACATCCCCGTCATGGCTTCCACTTAGCCGTGTGATGCATACGGCCATGAATACCTGGAGGACGTGCACTCACGCTCTTTGTCAGTCGCGCCGCTTCCTGCCTCCTCGTAACACCACGCTATGAAAGTGGTCGATGGGGGACGTTCAGACCTTAAATCAACGTTCACCCGCTCCGACGGCTCCCGTGTCGTACCACAAAGGATGTTAAAAACCCCATGAAAACATGGCATCCAGAAGGTCAGGAGTACATTGTTGAAATTCCCCTAGAGCTTCATTTGAATGGATTCCAGGCCTGTAGAAGCAGACGCCACCGACACGACGATCCGACCACACGGGATCTCCACCGGCTTCACGATGCAACTCAACACCAAGTGCAAATGTGGCTTCTGCTGACGTAATAAAGAATGTGCCAACAGGGGTATGTGAATGTAAGGGATTAATAATTCATCAGGTAGTAGAGTGCATTGGTTACTATGGATCGTAGATGCATTTAAAAACAGAAGTAGATTTTGTAGCCAGTAACTGGCTCACATGCAGAAACGTGTGTAACCCTTGACAAAGTGCTGGAAGGTTCTTGTCTACTGAGCGCGTAGCTGTTGTGATCTTTTTTCCCTTGCAAGGAAATAAAACAGAAAAACATATTTGATTCAGAACTTTTATTCAGCTTTTCCGATTGTCTGTCCATCACGCACACCAGCAGTTGTGAATAAATGCTGAGTCATCTTTAAGCTGTACAGGTGCAGTGTGAAGGTTTTTAGCGCTATAATATAATATTCCTAACCCCGTTTCCATTAGTGTGGAATCACCTCAAGCATTTCGCTGTCTTACAATGAGCTTTAATCATTAAGGGGCCTCACAAAGACACAACATTCGGAAAATGTATCAAAATCTCTCTTCCTTAAAAAAAAAAAAGCGCTAATGTAAGCACTTTAAATGACCAATATAGAAAATCATTCATTCATAATTGTATTGTTTGTCTTTGTTGATCAAACTGAGCAGCAGTTTGAGGGAAGAACAATTGAAAACGTGTTGAACCACCTCTTCACTCACAAAAGGACGTTACAAATGAAATTGATTTCATTTGATTCATTTATTGTAATAAAGATGTACAAAGTATTGGTAATCATGAATGTTAAAATGTTAGAAAAAGTATATCTGTGACCGTTAACAGTACAGCGTATCAAAACATTACTGCTTCAACCAGCTGGGTGGATTCCCTCCACGTTTGTTTGTGTGAAAACAGGCTTTTCTGCTTCAGCGTCTTTACTTCCAAAGACATTGAAGAGAGAATGTACAGACTTAAATTAGCTAAAGTCAAACGAAACAAAACATGCAAATGAACTAGACTTACAACCAAAAATACAGAGAAAAGAAAAGAAAAACGTGGAGAAACCAAAGCAACTCAAATAAATATCTTTCTCCATTCTGAAATCTGACATAATTAAATCGACTCTTAATTTATGCCATCAGACTAAATGTTTATTTACAGGTTAGTTTATGTTTGTGTACAACATCAATCATCATGGCTGGACACGGGACAATCTGGATACACAAAGTGATGACATGACGACAACGTGAGCACGCGTCTTATTTGGTTTGTCGAACGCAGCGTCATCGCCCTGGAGATAAATGAAGTCACACGCCAACATTTGGTTGAAAAAGGTCGTTTTGTTCCATCAAAGATCAGCTCAGCCCAATACATGTATATTTATGTAGATATATAGAGTATTCCATGTACAAATACAGAGTAACCCGTGTTCTCAGCAGGATGGAAACACACTCCTGGACCTGGTCGTCGTGCACAGCAGCGCCCCCCAAAGGCCGGACCCGTTACCGCCAGCAGGAAACGACTCGACCAAACGGATTCTGGTCTCTGAACACGTGGGTTCGGGTCCAAAGACCTGAACCAACACGACAAGTGAGCGGAGGCTGTTCGGGGACGCGACACACGCTGTCACTCACCCTCACACACACCTGGAAAGTACTTATTCAAAGACACGGGTGGGCGGGGCATACGGTTAGTATTTGTGTACTGCTAACTATGACATGCATGCATGCGAGCAGGTCGATACACTCGGCAGGTGAAGCAGTGATGATGAAATATACGGGGGGAGGAGAAAGGAGCTCATCATACAGTCCAGTCAGCTGACCTCAGAGGTCACAGTCCTCTGCTGCAGAAGGGTGGAGTACACGAAAGTACACGAAAGTACGGCGCTAAATGCTTAAAAAAGAAGTGTCTGTTTTGGAAACAACTCCGATGAAATAAGCACACTGGAAGTAAGAACCCTGTTATTCCATTAGATTTATGAAAGCTAGAACAGTGATGAGTTTAAGTCAGTTTACTACGACACGCATTAGTTTTCTATCCCGATTACACCATCAGGATCGAAAAGGAGGCGCCACTCGCAGAACATTTGTGTTGGGAGGTGACGGAGAACAAAGGTCTGGTCTTTAATGACGGCAGACAATCGGACTTCAGTCGTGTTCACTGCGATAGAACGCAGACCAGAGGTGGGCCACGTCAACCTCTGGTTGGGGGTCGTTCTCAAGCTGCATTTTGGGCGTCACCATCTTTGGTTTTGTGCAACGAGTGACCATATTCGCACCAACATGCAGCTCTGGTAAAGAACCGTTACAATACCGAGCAGGAAGGAGCTTCTTTTGTAACGGCACAAACCACTTTTAATCTGGGACTACGGCAGAGCGGTGTGGTCATCTGAAAATAATCCAAATCAACATTCTCTTATGAGCAGATGACCCATTTCAAACTGATGACATGGCTTTTCCCCCCCAACAAGCCCCCGGGCCAACGCGCCCTTTACATGAACCGAGGAGCGTACATCCGTTTGCATGGAGATGGACCTTTATTACGAGTAGCACACGGTCATGTGCATAGAGGACACAATCTATGGTCACATTCTTCAGTGTGAAGCCGGCGCGTCGGCCAGCAGAGAACAGACGGATGCAGGTGGATCGTGGAGGACGACGCAAAGGGGAACAACACTCCTCATGACACACAAACCGTCCAGCCAGTGTGGCTCATGAGAAGTGGTGACCATCGTTAGTTCTAGCGTTAAGGCAAGGCTTTAGCTTATTGGGTAGAGGGGGGGGGGGGGGGGTTGACATGTTGACACAGAAACACACAAGTTATTAAAAAAAGAAGAAAAAAAAAAGTCTGTTCAATCAGCCGTCTCTCCAGAGCAGAGAAACCACGTTCACATCTTTTCTGATAAAGAACATCTCAACTTGACCCATAAAAACATTCTATGCACGGCGCCTAAAAGACAAACTGGAAATACTAAACAGCTTAAAAAAAAAAAAGAGACTCAAAAAGGAAAATGAAAGACAAAGTAACGCTATGGTCCAAAATAAAACACATTGATTAGGGTAGAAAGTGAAAGAAGTCTTCATGCAATCTAGTGGGCACCCTTCATTAAATCCATGTCATCACGCTCATAAATACAATGCTCCAACTAAGAAGGAAGCACATTAAAACTCAATTAAAAAAAAGTAGTATCCACTAATATAATAGGTAATATTGTCAATCTGGATAGATTATAACTATTTAATCTGATTCAAATGGAAGGCACATCCATAAGGCTTTCGAGGGTGTTGCAAAGCGCTCTGCGTGCTTCTCTCCCAAAGTTTAAGGACGACAACAACAACAACAGAAAACTGGTCCAATCAACGTGACGAGTGTGACATCGAGGTACTCCGTCCTGGGAGAACGAGAACGTGGTGCTCGAGTGCTTCAGAGCAACTTTGTCGATAACAAAATGTCCCATGGAAATGAGAAGAAACTAGAGCTACAAGAGAAGGAACCCGGACATCTTGGAATAAATAGAGAGAAAGGAGTAGAGCGGGACACCTTACAAGCCCGACGCTCCTCATCGCAACCAGCATCACTTCCTTCACTTTAATTCACAGTACCAGCGTCAGTGGCTGCGTTCACTGGAGTGTATGAGGTGCACCTTCGTGTGTGTGTGTGTGTGTGTGTGCGCGCTCCTAGAGGCAGAAGTGGATGCGAGACTTGAAGACGCCCGTCGCCCCGCGTGCGTTTACGAGTAGAAGGTGAGGACACTCTGGTGGTTGCCGCGCACCAGCAGGATGGGAGGCAGCTCCTTGGACAGCACCTCCAGCCAGGCCATGTACAGAGCGCTGGACACGGCGCCCTTCCTGGCCAGCGGCAGACTCCTGCAACACACACACACACACACACACACACAGTCGGTTCGGTCAGCTTGGGAGGCGCCAATCAAAGAGGGCGGATCTCCGTCTGCTTCCACGCGGACTGGAGGGCTGTTTGTCAGCGGTGTGAATTAAAAACGACACGGGAAGTTGATTTTTAAGAGCTGAACTAGTCACAAATCCATCGGTTGAATGAATAATCCGTGCAGGAAGAATTCTCTTAATTGTACAGTCGTGTATACGACATAATAATGCAAATAACCAACTCCAGTTGGTGGTGAAAAGCCACACAAACTGCTGTATCCAACTCTGCAGAATGCAATGTGCTGCGTGGACACAAGGGGGCAGCAGAGCTCTTAAAGCCCGACCCCTGACCTTCCTCTCTTCTTCCTCTTCCTCTGACAATCGAATGTGCCTCAGTCAGTGGGGATGAAACACCCACGGGGGATAAGAGTAATGCAGCGGCTGCGTTCTTGGACTGTGGGGGGGGGAAGTCTGGGGGGGGGGGACCTACGCAGGGAGGGGGGGCGACATGGCGACTGCACACAGGACGGCCCGGGTGCACCGTATGTCAGACACAGCCGGGGGGGGGGGCGACACTTATGCGGTCCCACAGAAAATGACTCCGTGATGCAAAGAGAAGGAAACCAACACTTGCATTCCAGAGGGGACTCATCCAACATGTCAGTACACAACCAATGTGGTGGAAAATATCACTACGGCCATCTGTGTTATTCTACGAAACCGACAAACACACACAGGGGGGGAGCAGCTTACATGACAATGAGGTTGGCGGTGCTCGAGTGCTCCTTCAGCAGCTCGTTGAGTCGGATCTGACGATTAGTCTGAGGAGCAAAACAGATACAGGTTGAAGCATTCAGGCATCAGCTTAGCAGACGAGCAGCATCTCAGGTACACGACGCCAACAGGGACACGGTGCCTCAATGAACAGCTCCAACGTCTGCCCGAGGCCTTTACTCGTCACGGGTAAAGTGGGGCAGGAGGAGGGAGGCCACTGACCTTGGCGCGGTACAGCTCCAGCTCGTTGTCGGTGATCCTCCAGGGCTCGCTGTCCTTCAGCCTCTCGGCCGCCTCCTGCTCCATGTCGTCTTCCTTCAGCCGATACGGCTCGATCATCTCCTCGAAGGCCGACACGCTGCACAGGGACGGCGGGCGGTTAGCGCGGTTTAAGCCATGAAGGACAACGACAGAAGCTCTGCAGTGGTGGCGTGTGGTCTTGGGAATGACAATGCTGGGGCTTAATTGTTAAATTATAGTTTTATCAATCTTTGCCATCGGTTGCAATACCAGCAGAGTGCTCATTCAAAGTAACTATCAAGTGTAATCGTGGCTACGTGGCAATCAGACGCAGACTGACTGGGAGCGGCTCCAGAATAAGACGGCGAAATACTGCGATCACGGTTCAGTTAAGAGGAGAAGAGGTTCTGAACCACGAACCAGAGGAAACCACACACGCACTCGCTTCATTGGAATATTCTGTGTTCAGCTGCGTTCTGCACATCAACTCTCAGAAATATATTGAGCTTGTGTACTAAACGGGAAATGATTCGGACATTTAAGACGTGTTTGCATTTGTTTTGTGGGGAGCTCCTGCGAGAGGCGTCTCTAGGAGGGGGGAGAGGCGTCTCTGGGGGGGGGAAAAGCGCTGCACGAGTCTCCGTCAATCACTTCCGGCGGCGGACTTACTGCTCCTTCTTGGGCTTGGTGTTGATGTCTCCCAGCACGTTGATGTCGGAGAAGTCGATCCTGAACTTGCTCAGCAGAGTGGCCATCCTGCAGAGGAAGCAAAACAAGAGCTTACTGGAAGCCGCCCGCGGGCTGCTGAGATAAGAGCAGCGAGTCGTCCTGGAGGCGCTTTGAATAACCGGTTTGAACACGGGGGGGTCGGCGGGGCCGGAGGCAGGCGGGACAGGCTTTACTGGGAGCGCCGTGCTACTCCTTCTATGCCTTTCATTTCCTTCAGCTTCAAAGAAGCACAGAACACTTATTCTAGCAGTGCATGAGGGGGATTTTAGCCAAATCGGATATTTATCTTTCGTTTGCTGCTGAAAGTGAGCGTTGCAGAGGCAAATCATGGTTTAGTGGGCTGAAATTTTGGTGAAGTGATCCTTTGAAGTGAAGTGAATTACTAAATAACTGCTGTCATGTGAGGATTTTCTAGTTGGACGAGCTTAAAGGGAAAGTGGGATTTTACAGTAAACAAAAAGGGGATTTCAGGGTGCACACAGGGACTAAAGGTGGGCCGCTAGCGCCAAGCTCATTTTATCCAACAGCTGTAGGGGACAATGAGAGACGGGGGGGGCTCACTGAGGACCCAGGAGACAGAGTTCATATCCCAGCTGGTCTGGGAGCGCCTCGGCATCCCACACTGAGTCTGGGTCGACCTGCTGCCGCCGCGACCCGACCCCAGATAAGCAAAGAGAAATGGGCGGATGGACGGTCACCGCCGCAGAGACAGAGCACTGGTGCCACGTCGACTGAGGTCAACAGGGCGGCCACGGCAGCCGCCATCGTTTGCCGCGTTTGTCCTCCTCGTAATTGGTTGGAAGCATGCAGCTCAACCCAAGATATCAATACCATGACCCATGAGCAAACTAATGATGCATTAATGGCTCTGAGTAGAAGTTTGGGTGGACCTACTTCGTGGCGACCAGTCGATGGGAAAAGCTTCTCCCTAAAACAACAAGGAAGCTTGTGGTCGCACATGATGTTCCTATTGAGACTTAACCGAGGGGATACAGGCTCAAAGCGGACAGGATGTTCACTGCATCTTTAGCTGCTCCACCGATTGGTCGAGAGACCAACCCGGCAACACTGTTCCCGTCTTTGCCCGTTCACTCGGGGAATTAGCCGTCATGCTAATGTGGCACATGGAAAATGTCCTCATTTTAAACTCCAAAAAGAACACCGGCTGTTTGCTAGAAATTTTAACGGGCAATTTTGGGTGGGAGGGGCCTTATTATTTACATCATTATGACGATATAACGCTTTCTTTGGCGTTTAAAGACATTCTGTAGTTGTCAGTATCATCGTCATCTTCATCATGGCTGCACTCACGCTCGGCGGTCGTGATCGATCCTGTTGATCTTGCCGCCGATGAAGACGCGGATCTTGCAGTCCTTCCACCTCTTCTTGTTGGTCAGCAGGTAGGGGATGAGCAGGGTCAGACCTGGACGGGAAACAAACAGCTGGTCATCGCCGGCCTTCTGCCACATCGACACCATCAACACCTGCCGACGCCCCAGAAGCCACTTTGCCTGAGCGACGCGTGTCCACGCCGGCTGCCATTGGGGACGCGGCGGCGACGAGCCGGATAGGAAGCGGCACATGCCACACGGTCGTGAATACACCAGCCGCGCCTCTGGTCACATCTTTACACACTGCTGACAGTGTGTCAGAGTGAGTCGTGTCAACGCGTTGGCCCGATCGACACCTCGCTAATGGATCCGAGCTTCCAGACAGCGGGGGATTGATCGCCGTCTTACAGCTGACCCGTTGACAGCAGCCACCCAAATGGCGCTCGACTGATAGTGGCTTCAGAAATGAAATAAATAATAGAATAAATAATCAATGGAGAAGAAAGGGTTCAGCACACATCTCCAGATAGCAAATGCATCATAGATAGTTTATTAAATGATGAACAGTTAAAGTCATCAGTCTGGTGCATTTATGGCTTTTCTTGGTGTCATTATACGTCCTAATCACTCCAAGGCTGAATTGGCCTCATTCTAAATCATTCTTTTTATCCACTCAGTTCAAATTGAGTTCCTACCCCCAAATCTCCCCCCAACACAGAACAAATTGTGCCGCCTCATTTGCCAAAAGCACATTTCAGTGGGAGTTTGGATTTTTTTGCATTTACTTTTAGGGATACAGATGACATCATCATTCATGTTGTGACCATGAACGGAGCAGTGCGGCGTCTCCACTACCTGCCGACAGAACCGCCAGAGAGGCAACAGGACGGCGACGCTCGCTCTCCTGCATGTACAAACGCGGCCGCTCGGCTCTCAGAGCAGCGTGGACCAGGACCGGTCTACTGGGTGACCCACCTCCGTCGTCAAACAGCCACCACACGTCCACCGTGCCCTTCCCTTGCTTCTTCAGGAACTGCTGGCTGGCCTCCAGCAGCCGCTGGTCGGACACGTTCAGCGGGACGCTGGGGCTCTTCTTGTCTGCGCGCACAAACACACAACGGGAGCATTGAGGCGGGCCGGGGCGTTGCGAGGAGTCCCGAGGGTGGGACAGGAAGTACACGTCCGTGTGTAGCTCATGGAGCGTCGGTTTGATGCGAGCGCTCAGCAACACGACGCACAACGTTAATAAAGACAGGAAGCAAAGTCACAGTTCTGATCGGTGTTTCCCCGCAACATTTATATTTATACGAGTTTTGCAGTTAAAAATATTGGTTTGGCTTATTTAGTTCGGCTTCAACTTGTCACATTTTCTATTCAAGGAGGTTTTAAAATCGACTCGGCTTCAGGTACAACGAGGTTTTAGGTGCATCGTCCTACTCGTCACAGACTTGGGCGAGCTGAGCGTGGCCCTGCTGCTGCCGTCACCATCAAACCAACATCACCCTCTGCTAAAGTCTCTGTGCCCTCCCTCCCCACCGGCTTCTGTGACGGCGGTTCTATGTGATGGCGGTTCCATCTGACGGCGGTTCTATGTGATGGTGGTTCTATCTGACGGTGGTGGTCCCTGCAGTGGTCCTGCTGTGCGGCTGGTTTACTACTCAGTTACTTGAATCATTTCTGATGATTCTTTCTTTTCATTTTTTCCCTCTTGGAGGGTTTTTTCGTTTTTTGGGGAGTTGTTCCTGTGCCGATGGAGGGTTTCGGGACAGAGGATGTCGTATGTGTACAGACTGTAAAGCCCTCTGAGGCTAATTTGTAATTTGCGATTTTGGGCTCTACAAAATAAAATAAAATGTATTGAAGGAAGAAAGAGTCCTAAAAATCTATTTTACACGTCAGTGGCTATAAACTGATAATAATCCAGTACCTAACGGTATTCAAGAGAAGCTAACGGGTCTACCAAAGTCTCTCTCTCTGCAGCCCTCCTCAGAACATGAACACCGGGTTTGGGGGGATCCTTTGAGCTCGGGGAAACACCGTCAAGAGGAAAGGAGAGCCGTTAGCTGGAGACATGAAAACAGGAGAGCAGTTTTCATCCTGGAGGAGAAAGCCAGAGACAGTTTGAGCGAGAAGCAGCAGCGGGGACTGAAGACAGGAGGAGGAAATGGAAGCGTTGGCACGCGCTGACAACATTAAATAGTCCAGACTTGGATTGAGTTGAAGGCACAAACAGACAGGACGGCTTCAGAGAGCGGCTCAAGCTACGAGCTGGCAGCTGTTAAAAGGAGAGCAGAAGAAAGAGAGGAGACACCAAACGCTCTCCTCAAAGCCAGCAGGTCAGAGACGGACCGGAGGCAGCAGGGACGGGGTGTTGACACAAGAGGAATTCAAGATACGCAGCGAGAAACGAGGTGATAGAAAGACGAGGGTTAAGATTTAAAAAAAACAGAGCGGAGAAAGAGAAAAGTTTAAGGCAACACAATAAAGTGGATCTCCTGCCTTTTTTCAACAGGGGCTGAGTCGTAGCTTTGCCGTCCTCGTCCTCATCTGGGAAATGAGACAAAAGGAGAGAATCGAGGTGAAGGGTGGATTCGATGTGCCATCGGCTTACAGACGAGGTTCCATGAATCCAGATTCACGGCGGTAACGAGTCACGGGTGAGAGTTCACCGTGTTCGCTCCACACAAAGGGGATCAGATCCACACGGATGAGCTCCAAGTCACTGCACAGACAGAGTCCCACACAAGGTGCAGCAAGAGCTCCGGCTGGGAATAAGAGGATTACCCCAATCAAGGCATTCGTCTTCACAATGTGTGTGCACCCTTTATCATTACCGCCACTAACACACACACACACACACACACACAACTCCGGATAAAGAAAGGAAATAAACTAAACGTACAGAAGCAATTTGAGTATTGGGGTATTTCTGTTTCTGGTTTCTATGGGACGGCTTGTGTGCAACCAGAGAACTAGTTGTGGAGTTGTGCATGGGTCTCTCTCAGTGGACTCACAAACTGGGCCCAGTGGGACGACCGGAGTCACTGAGGCGACTTCCTGCTCGGCGCGGTGTTTGTGTAGAGGCACAGCGGAGGAAGTCCTCTCTAGGACGCGGTGCCGTAGGAGGATTCACTTCATCGCCAGAAGGAAATTGGGGGCAATTATTGGCACCACGAGCGTCGCGTCCAACACGAGCGTCGCGCTGAGCGGGCAGAGAGACGGGGGACAGTTCGCCCGCCTCCTCTGTCCTGATCACAGGTGGTGTTTGAGTGACATGAACGCACTGTGGTGTCATATCCTAATCAGTGTGTGTGTGTGTGTGTGCGCACGGACCTTTCTGCATAGCCGGGCTGTTCTGGATGCTGGTGGCCTTGGACGACGGCTTGGACGAGTCTGCGTCAGAGTCTTTGCTGGTATCTATGGACACGATGACATCTTTCATCCCCGAGGACTTCTCCTGGGAGGACAACAAATCATCTGGAAGGAAACAAGGCGAGGGGGGGGAGGGGGGGGGAGACGATGTGGGAAGCAGAGCGAGAAGAAAAAACAATCCTTTAGAAATGACGACGCAGGAACTCTTCAGTGACAGAAACGGTCCAATCCAGTGATTTATCATTTATCTCTCACACACACAGCATCTGGAAAGTGTCCACAGCGCTGCACCTTTTCCACATTTCCATATGTTACAGCCTTATTCCAAAATGGATTACATTTATTTTTACTACACACAACACCCCATAATGACAAAGAGAAAGTATCTTTGGAAGTTTTTTGCAAATCTAGCATAAATAACTTGACATGTCGGTGCACAAACCAGGTCACGGTGTCTAAAGAATCCTACCGAGGCACCGATCTGAAGACGGCTACAGAAACATGTCTGCAGCATTGAAGGTCCCAGTAAGCAGAGCGGCCTCCATCATCCGGAGATGGAAGAGGTTTGGAACCACCAGGACTCTCCCTGGAGGCAAACTGAGCGCACGGCGGACCTGAAGGACGCTCAGAGCAGAGGAACAAAATCCTCTGTTCTCAAAGATTGAACCCTTTGGCCTGAATGCCAAGCGTCATGTGTGGAAAGGAACTGCCCACTTGACTTGAGGCTGTAACAGCTGCTAACGGTGCTTCAACAAAGCATTGTCTCTGAATACTTATGTACATGTTATATCTTCCTCTTTATTTAAAAAAAAGAAAGTTGATCAAGCTTTGCCACTTTGCCATCGTGGGGTGTTGTGTGTTCTTCATGTGTTCTGAAGAACAAATGAATTGAATCCATTTGAGAATGAGGCTGTAACATAATATTATGACAGGGTCTACCGGTTTCAAGTCTCACCGGAGCTTCTAGACCTCTTTGAACCTTCCTCGCTGTGACGGCTTCGCTCTTGGATGAACACGAAGCCGTCAGAAGGATCCCAGCTGCCATACCTCTGTATGCAAGATCATTGCAGTAGGATTCTAGTGAGGACCCGTATTACCGGCCGCGCACCAGAGCTCCCCATCGCATGCACACGGTCCATCATGACGCGCAATGTTGTGCTAAAGTGGAACCACGCTGCCTCACTGTAGTGCAGCACAGTGAGGAAAGGCCTTCATTTGAATCAATTGACTTGGATACAGATCCTCTGGCATTAAAAATGTATTTTATGGCATAGCAGCGTTTCCTCTACCAGAATATAAAATCTAATGTCATTTGAGTCTCTGCTTTACAACTCCGCTCCTTGTTTGGGGAAAAGCGCGATGTGGCATTTTGTTATAAATGTGTTTTCACCACAGACTGACAACACATACGGTCACCATACACACTGGGAAACGCAGCATGCAGCAGTTTGGAGATTGACCCCCACCGACCTCTGTTGCTGAAGTTCACTTTTTTTTCCCGCCACTCCTGAAAACCACACGCCAGAGGCCTATAAAAGGCCACGCGCTTCACGGCCAGCTGCTCGTCATTATCGATTTGACCTTTTCTCTGACTTTGGAAGGCACAGCCCAAACCCCAAACCCCAGCGTGGAACCGTGTAGTGTGAGGACACGCGTTACCTGGTCCCTGGATGTGGGACACGTCCAGGCCCTCCTTCAGTCGCAGAATGACAGCACCGAACTGGAAGTCAAAGGAATCGCTGAGAAGGAACAGAAGCACACAGAACACATGATTTTAACACCGTTTTGCTGAACAACCTCCAATAACATAATCCTCACGCTTACAGGAACTCCTTTGACGCAAGTCCCCACTCGCTCACATGACCTCAAACCCGAGCGAGTCTGCAGGGGCCCGGACGGCTTCCGGCTGGAAGCAATTAGCTCCTAGTAATCTATCAGTAATTATTACTGGATCATATTACATTACAGGCTTTTATCCAAGGCGACGTACATTGCATTTCTAACACACGGCTTTATACATTTTTGCCCAGGGAGCAATTAGGGGTCAGGGGTCTTGCTCAGGGGCACTTCGACATGGGACTCGAACCGCCAACCTCGCGGGTTGAGGAAGGAAGAGGCCAGTGACGAACAACGTCCAGTTAGTGGATGCTAATAAGATAGAATATCAGATGAATTATGACCGGTTTTAGCAGCATTAAAGGGGCTGTACCGACCCCCAAACACCTGCACGATCATCAAGGATTCCTGTTGTGAATGAATGCTACGAACATTTAGCGATCCGTCTACAGATATTTATTAGACTCAAGGGCCTGTGAGGGTGCCGTAGTTTTGCATCAAATCGTTCTGGGATGTTTGCCGACATTGATTGATAGCCCCACCTAGACCATCGTCCACCAGCCAGTAACTTAAACAATTGGAAAACCACCGGTTACCACACTAACTAACAGCTGCATCCCTACTTAAAACCCCGACGGTGTGAGGAGGCGCGCCCAGGGCCCGTCATGCTTCTGGTGGGGCGGATACTGCAGCGCGGTCGGGCTCTGAAGCGGCTCCACTTACTGGATCATGCTGATGTAGGTCTCCACGTTCATCATGTCGCCGTCCCTCCAGTCGTTCTTGAAGCCCAGCACCAAGGTGTTCGGCTTGAGGCGGCCGAGGCCCGCCGCCTAGAGGGGGAAGGATGGAAGGCAGAGTCACCCCGAGGCTGCACACGTTCTCATCAGTGCTCACTGGGAACGAAGGAGCACCACGACCACCCCGGCCTTTGATTTATTAGCCTCATTGTTTCCATTGAAATAAGTCTATTTCACCAAAAATGAAACTAACAGTTTCTGTAAACCGATTTATTTTTCAGCAACCAGGACATGACCAAATATTTTAGTTAAACAATGTATATTCAAACTAGTTTTTTAACAGGATTAAGATGAATCATTTTCATACTTTTTGATTAAATAAAGAAAAAGGAATACTGATAATATCAATGTGTGAGCTTCAGTATGCCTGAAGCCAAAAACTGCCGTCCTTAGTAACGCACGGTTTGTGTGGGACTTCAGCTGTATGCAATTAGAAAATAATATTCAATCCATTCCTATATTTTAAATGTGATCCAGTTTTCACATGTTCACACGCAGTCCAATGAGACATTGATACGCGGCCATTAGGACGCCGTTAGGACACCGACAGGCGAGGACACGTTCTGATCCATGGTTACCTGGAGCAGGTACTGAGCCCCCTGCCTCATGTCCTCGGCGAACACCGGCGTGTAGAAGGCCTTGGTCTCGTTCTTCAGTAGCCAGCGCTGGTACCGGGCCTGGTCTGTGGCCAGTTCTTTGAAGTTTGGCCTTCTGTAGCCCTGTGGACACACACACGCACAGTGAATACAACCAACCGTAGAGCCCTCACACTGCACACACACCAGGCCGGCCGTCACAGAATGCTCCGTTGGATCAGGTCACAGACGGGAGATCTCAAGCTGAAGAACAAAGTGCTGCCACGAATCTCCTCGCCAGGGACTTTGTTTGCTTCTGAGGAAAAGCTGCTGCTCGGCATGCGACGCCGTTAGCCGAGACTGTTTACGTCACTTCACGTGGAAGCAATAGGAGGGGGGGGGGGGGGGGGCAGGCTGCACTGCACAGAGCCTGCATTCATCCACTCAACCGGCCCTTCCAGCAGTAATGCCTGGACGGGACTCGTCAAAGGCTTTTTACAGCGTGGATACGGGAGGAGAACTAACGCTCCACCACCGAGCAGCTCTGGTGCAAAACGTCCGGCTCACTTCCTTCAGTGAAACGGTCGACTCAATTATTCATTACGCTATCGCTTTGCATCCAAGCGAATGTCCGTGCGATGTTCCTGAGGTGGAAGAAGGCCGTGTAGGTGACGTGGTCGGCCTGGGGTAGGAAAGGAAGGCTGGGGTCGAGGATGGTGGTAGGGGGGGGGTGTACTGCATTTTTATTTTTATTTTTGTTGTTGAAGAAATTGTAGTTTCACGCTGCAGACTGACGTCACCAACTCGTGTCTCCCGTCGATTGGTAACTACGTAACGTGGTGAAAGTGGAGTCGGATTCCCTAAACACTGCGACCTTCCTTTCCTAAATGAATTCTTCTAACCATCTTCCCCCCCCGACGGTTTCTACACAGGTCAGGAGGTCATTTTTGACACTTAGAGCCCAACTATAATCCATTCGTTTGTTGGGTTAGCTGGCTCACAAATAAGTACAGGTGGAGGTGTAAGCTGTATGCAATTTCAGGATTTAAGGTTAAATAAAATGTATTAATAAAATACATTATTATTTACAATAAACAAAATTAGATTCACTAACTCTTCAATTAATAATACGGTTTCGTACCTTTGACTTTGTCAACTTCACATATTGAATCACATTTGCTGTATTTTATTTAATGAATTGGATGGGTGCAGTGTCTCTGAGGCAATACAATTAGAGGTTTTGCATTATGTTGTTTGAGAATAAAGAAGAAGAACAAAAGCGTATCTTCTCACCGTGCGAATATGACCACACATCATCAGGCCCACGTTCTTCGTGAAGGAGTGGACCAGATCCAGAAGAGCTGGACGGGAGTTGGGGTAACCGGTCATCACCAAACACTGGGGTCTACAGGCACACAAAGCCAAGGGAAAACATCATTATAATTAATATAATATATATATATTACACACACACACACACACACACACACACACACACACACACACACACACACACACACACACACACACACACACACACACACACACACACACACACACACACACACACACACACACACACACACGGAAGAGATTAACAATGAAAATGTCCACATTCTTTCTCCATGGTTTGTATGTGTATTCAGTGCCAGTGAATACACATACAAACCTCATACAATAATTGTCGGCTTTAATTAATTAATGCGTTAAATCACATTTCTGGCTTTTAAAAAAAACAAACTAGACCGAGCCGGATTCTTCTGACCTTTAAAAGTGGCCTCCAGCTCCCATAACACAGGACCAGGAGGAGAAACGGGAGCGGAGTAGCGCACATGAAAGCAAATATGTTAAGCACCAAGGGATTTAGTGGAGGCGCTAAGGAGACGAGAGGGAGCTCAGAGGGACCCACTGAAGACGCCATCAGATGCCTTTTAATCTCTGCTGTTTGCTGCCATGGGAACAGACACTAATACGTCCTCAAACACATTCTGAGAAACGAACACGGCGGACGCAGAACAGTAATAACAGCTGCTTTAGGTTGATGTCAAGCTCGTGGTTCATCAACATTTATACATAGAAGGATTTCTGTATCAATAGTCTTTGCAATACCATTTTTTACGGATTTTGATATCTAAAAATGTGGTTCATGCTTAGAACAATATTCCAATACATTAGAATTATAAATTTGGACACCGCGATCATCTTTCTTACAGCGTCACACTGTCGGGGCCATATGGACACTGCTGCAGCTTTACCAGCAGCAGTGACAGGCAGGTGCTCTTCATGCCGAGTACCTGAAGTTCTTGATGTGGTCCTCCACCCCGCTGAGGTGCAGAGTGTGGGTCAGGGCCTGGTGGTAGGTCAGGGCCTGGGTCGACGAGCCCCAGTTCACATCTGGCGGGGAGGACGCATGCGGGCAGAAACAAACAAGCGCAGTTGTGAGGTGTGTTTACGGGTCGTCCCGTCGCGCCCGAGGGCGGCTGACCCATGTGGCGTCGCGGGCAACGGGAAGGCCGCCTGTGTGTGTGTAGCTGCGTGTCAAACTGAGCACGCACACAGGTGTGCGCGCGCTCAGAAATGCAAAGGCAGCTTTGTGTGCAACGTGTACAGATGTGTGTTGACGGCTCAGTGACGGGTTGCAGCAGGATCCACCAACTCTCGCCTACGAGTGGAACGTTTGTAAAAGGGAACAGTACAACTTGGAAACGCAACAAAGCAAATTGTCTGCGTCATTTCAGGCCGTTATGCATAGATTCTATGTATAGATTCTATAGAACACGTGAAATGTAGAAATGACAAGACCGTCACATGTGATCCATCGTGTGACAGCACAACGCACATTGTTGCACTGAAGCATTTTTCTAGAAGGGGACATTCCTTCACACTGAGGTTATGGTCCTTCTGCACTGCAGTATTGACCTTTACTTGACTTATTTCCAGTTCCTCCCAAGCTAAACAAACCTTCTGGAAGCTAGCTAACGTTAGCGTACTTAGCTTAGACAGATTGTGAGTGGAAACAAACCTTTTTTTCTGGTTATCTTAGATTACTCGTTGTCATTGCACAGGTACGGACACCACAAAATGCAAGATAGCTGTTTTAGTCCATATGTTCAGCTAGGCTAAGCTAGCAGTGTTACCCTCGCCTTTTCAAATGAGCACAGGCCCTGAAGCCCAATAACAAATACATTTATTAATGGATGGAAAGTCACCTGGCTTCTTGTAGCTGACGTAGATGAAGAGCCCCAGAACGATGACGTTGGTCATGAGCGCCGCCCACCAGTTGATGACAAACATCACCACGCAGCACAGGATGGCTCCGACGAGGGACACCCACATGTTGTAGTATTTGAAGCTGGGACGCCATCCTGCCGCAGCGAGGAAAACCGGTCAGCACAACGCAACACATCGCATCACAATGTGCGCGGACAACATTCACGGTTGACGGAGGAAAAAACGCACTTCATGTTAAGGTTTGTCAGTCAGTTTGGTTAAAGACTCGGACCAAATTGAGTCAGGCCTGTAATTCAAAAGATTAAAATTCATGGACCTTTGAGAACAATTGTAGCCGTTGTCCTTGACATGGTAAATGTTGCTGTTAGGGAGGATGGATAACGTGTGGTATCGGTGTTTGGGTTAAGGAATGGAAATTAGCAGCCTGTTAGACCAGAAGGTTATAAAGACCAGGTTTGTTTATTGGGTCCCACAGAAACTAGACTACTGGGATTTTAGTGATGGGACACACTCAGACTGTGTGTGGTTACACAATGACAGCGTCTAAACAAACCACAGGACATAAAGGGTACATTGACGCTGCTGGTCCCCCCCAAGCCCCATTCAGGGCTTTTATGGGCCCCCCAAGAGAGGAGAGGGAGGGGCTCTGGAGAGGCCCGGACGCCAACGTGATGTCACAGAGGCGGTAGCAGACATCACAGTGGACGCTGCTCGCCTCTAGTTCAGTCATGTACCATTTAGGTCCGGGTCATTATATGAGCGGCTTGGAGGAACGAGGAGCACACTGAGGATCTGTACCTGGAGTTCTGCTAGAGCTTTGGTATCGAAGGGGAAAGAAAGCACAGAACTCAATATAAAGAAGGTCAGCCGTTACATGCATTTCATTCAGCTCAAGTGTAGAAATGAAAGCATTTCCTGCAGTGGCAGATGATGAGATATCCGCGTTAGACATTTAATCTTCCACCCAAAGTCAACGGAATCTCAACTTCTCCACAAACATCTGACCTTATGAAAGAACATTTGGGTATTTCTATCCTATTTATCTCCCCCTTAATGGTTTCCCCATGTATAGATAAATGATCTAAAGATGTCTTTCAACAACGTCATTAGACACGTGTCTTCCAATTCTATTGGTCTAGAATTCACATTGTAGAGTGAAGCAGGATAATGTCAACGCAACTGAAGTGGATTATAGGGCTTCAAATCTGAAGATTCCTTCAAACTAATTCATTACACAATCCACGAGTGAGGAACTATTATTGCACAGGACCCCTGGAACAGTCTCGACCCCTCGTGATCGTGTTAGTACCCAAGAACCGGCCAACAGCTGGAGGGATTTCCTCCATATAGCAGTCTACCCAATCTGAATATAGTATCCCAGCCAATTATTGCTAATCCCTTATCAAATCTGGCTTCAACCATTTCTAACTAAATGTATGAACGATTAAGAACCCTTTGACTTGCACATCTTTTGTTTCCAAATACTGCATACTAGGATATTAATAATAAGCAGTGTTTATAGGATATACACGAATCAGATTCTTAACAATCACGCCGTGCCGTTCTAATCGCTCGCCCTCAGTCATCACCGCTGTCAGAGAGCATCAACAACAAGGAACAAGGTTCGTTTTGGGCTTTTTGTCAAGCGACTTGCAGGAACAAAGCGAATCCTTTCAACAGCAGACGAGACGGCCGCTCAGTGACTTCGTGTTCTGTACATTCGGATGCATCGCAAACTCAATGTCACTGGACTGGAGGCAGAAACTGATACTCTGAACAATGAAAACCAACGGAGGAACTTGTGAATACTTTTCTGTAATATTGCCAAACTCTCCCTTTAAAACGGTAACTCTGGTATCAGGTTTGGCTTTCTATCGGACCAATACGGGTCCGGTATTGAGAGAGAACCTTGTAATAAAATCAGGACTAATTGGCCCTTGCGGGTCCACTTAAAGTGCTTAATTCTTCCTCAGAGGGCAACAGGCTGCCATTGTTTGGTATTTTTTCATCTGGTATTCCATTACGTCATTGGTTCAGTTACCTTTGGAGAACAAATAATAGCAGATGAAGAGTTGAGCTGTACAACATTACCTGAAAAAACCTGCTGGCTTTTTGAGATGTTTGTGACCCAGTTTGTTCAGCCAACAGACGAGTGATGCTACCTGTGCAGAAGCAGCACAGCTGGTTCTGATGCATTAGCCAGACAGACTGAAACAGTCACTCAGAAACACTGAAGGATCCTGGCTGGTGGACGGACAGACTTTGCATAGAGTCGGGACTAAGTAGCAGTGAGATTTCACATGTTCAGACATGTACTACACGGAATTACCCACAAATGACACCAACCGGGACGTAAGAACGACTCGGGTCACAACCGGAATCCACAGAAAAGATCAAACCATCCATCTTCTCACATACGTGTTCATTATTGATGAGCTACTGGATCGGACTCTTAACGCAGCTATTTGGGAAACACTTAAAATATCTGATAAAAGGTTGGTTTATAGACCAAGATCTTATTTTGCAGACTAGAGCCAGAGCAGGAAATGTGGGAGCTTGTGATCAGTTCACCATCAGCTTCTTGAGTTTCTCTGAGGATTTCGGCATCGTCTCGTACCTTTTTCTTTCCATTCAGACGGTTTCGATGACGTCTTCAATTAAATGTCCGCATGACGGAAACGCCGCCTCAAGATCATGCCGTCGATTCTCTGGATAATTCAATTCGGCTCATTTTGTAAAGGGCAAAATCACAGATGAGCCTCAGCGGGCTTCATGTGACATCCTGTCTGGGAGCCCTCATATCAGCACAGGAAAAAACTCCCCAAAGACAAACAGGGGGGAAAGAGTAGCAGATAAGAGGGGTATTATCTGAACTACCGGGACGTCCACGGCACTCAGACGTTATCGTCTGCATAAGTTCAGGCCTCATGTTCAGTGCATGTTTGAAAGCAGCTTATGATGGGAAGTGTCTTGCGAGTTGGTAAATCTTGTCTGTTTGTTCAGTTCAACGTGTCCTGAGCTGCAGAAGTAATTCCTTCTGAAACCCGCAACCCCATTAAACAGCATGTGAGCCGCGACTCCGTCCGAGTGGCTGATGGGCCTCTCGGTTGCACAATCAGACATCTCCTATAATGAGTTCCTCTGCCGCATCATTTCTAGATCTGGCACTTTGGGATTCTTTTTCCTGATCTTACCTGGTGAGTTGGCCAGCGAGGCGTGAAACACAGAGAAGTTGATCAAGGCGTAGGACGCCAAGAAGAAGTTGGAGATGATGGGAGCAATTATGTTCAATTCAGCTGCAAGAAGAAAACAGAAATCACTTAATGTCAGGTCCTCTGGTCCTCAAGAGCAACACCAGGATTCCAGTTTGAGTGAGTGGAAATAATCAATAATAGTGTGAATAGTCAGTCCATCACTACGTCAAACATCGACTGATGACATTGGCATCAGATTAGATATTCACGGCCCACAGAGGAGGAGCCCTATTTCCCTAGTAGGTTTAAAATAAATCCATTATCATCCACTTTATTCCCTCGAGTTGGTTCCAAATGACATCATTCTTCCCGGGCAGTTTGTTAGACATTACAGTGACATGACACATTTTGTTTGTTCTTATGTCTTGTTATTGTGATCTCACGTCAGCAGTGAGCAGCCGTACCGATGAGGATGAAGGCCAGAGCGATGACGAAGGTCAGGATGTATCCTCGGAGGGGCTCGTTGTTCTTGCCGTAGCCTTTGGCGAAAATGCCCAGGCCGGGGTAGATGTTGTCCTTACACAAAGCCTGTGGACAGACAGGACAGAGTGCTGTGAGAAAGTCTCAATACGCCGGAGCATCGTCACAATACGTTCTGAGACCATTTTTTACTTTAAAGTTTACATACAAAGCTGGGTGGCACATTGAACCAAAAGTATTGCTGTGCTGTTTGATCTGCAGGGACTTTGATGAAAGCAAAAGCAGATCTTACGGGTATGAGCGTCTGAGCAAAACATCTTTTTTAACTCAGATTTATTTAGAACAGTGGTTTGCTCTTAATAAAATGAAAGTTGTAATAACATTTCTGTAAGTGCAACATATTGAATCCTAACCCCTGTATCACGACACGGATCGGCAGGTTCTTGCCAACACGCAGCCCGACTGCAAAGGGAAAGCATCATGCAACAAGTAAACTGCTCCCCGGCTGTTAGTTTGAGTGTTTCCGTCGGCGCTTACCTGAAACACCTTGGGCGCGCTGACCAGAGAGGCCAGCGCTGACGACAGCGTGGCAGAGAAGATTCCAGCGGTGATGACCGGCCCAAAGCCAGAAACCATGCTCATCACCTGAGCCCAAGAGAAGAGCACGTTGAACCTTTCTCATTTTCACCTCTGGCTCTGAAAGAACTCAAGGATCGCTTATTGTCATTGTGCAACGTGGGATCACACATTAGATATGCGGTTGGAACACGTTTGCAAGGAGCCTAAACGCATGGGACACGCAGGCGCTCCGTACCTGGAAGTCGTTCTGCAGTCCGTAGCGGCAGGCGGTTTTGTCGCTCTTGCAACTGGAGAAATCGTAGCCCAATTTGCAGGCGGCGTCGGTGCAGTTCATCATGAACTGCGAGCTGACGGTGTCGTTCAGGTTCCCCGTGGCGTCTCTCACGATGCAGGAGCCTGGGGGGGGGGGGAAATGTGAGGCGTGTAAAAGACGAAACGTGATTCACTGGTGCAGAGCTGCTCAGAGTGTCCCACACCGCACCCGTGGAGACAGCGACACCCAGGTAGACGATTCCTGTGATCAATATGGCCAGCATGGTTCCTCTGGGGATCGCCAGCTGTGGGTCCTGCAACAAACAAGCACAACTCATTCTCATCAATAAAGAGCTTTTTACGTGACGCCATCGACACTCTGATGGTCGCCCTGGTTACCTTCCGTGCAAGCAGCGCTACACAGATGACGACGACGAGGAGGTTGATTGGTACGACATCAGGACAAAGCCCCCCCAGGTCATTTGTCCATGATTAGCGTTGGGGAAGAACATTTACGGAAACTTTCCATGGGAAATTAAGGCCGGGAATTTGTGACCATTTTATTTTGCAAAAGCATAGAACGTTGACGTAGTTGAGAAGAGACACTGCGAGCAGAGCGCAGCAGGACTCTGGCTGGGAACATTGTCTGCAACAAACAAACTTAAAACGGCGTGTTGGTTTTGAACGTCTTTGTCATTATTGATTACTTGGCGTTAAAATTAACATGGCGTCAGTTTACCAAGTTTATTTGTATACAGTATTGTTTTAAAGTTACAGTATGTCCACACTACCGAACACCATCACCTCGGTTATTCGTCTCTGTTGGGGTCCATCAAATAGTGTGCATTAAATGAAAGTAATTACTATAAATGAAAGAACGAGCAATAAAAACATAATTCAGACGATATTTTAAGGATGTGGCTATTAAACCACATTGGTTTTTCCTTTTCTCGACCCAACGTTTATGTAGACCGAAAGAATTCAGGGAAAAACCCTAAAACCAGAGGAGTGAGGAGATTATTTCATTTGACATTTAGATGTGGACTTTTTGGGGTCACCATCATCACTATTTTATTCCACGTTAGCGATTTTGTTGTTCTACTACTAGTGCCAGTCAAAGAGGTCATTTGGAAGATTTGTATTAGAAATGTTTGCATCCATGTCTGCTTATGACAAAACTAAATGTTTTGCTACGTACGACGAGGTAAATACAGTTAAATCAGCCCAACATTTGCAGTTTATTCCTGTTCATTTCCAACTTTGAACATCCCCGGAATCATGCAACCCTATTCATGACTGAAGGGGACTCACAGAGAGGTCTCCGGAAATGTTGGCTCCTGCCAGAATACCAGTGGCAGCGGGGAAGAAGATGGCGAAGACGGAGAAGAAGGTCTCCTCTCGGAAGTCAGGGCCCATGTTTTCCCACATGATGGCACCTGACGGGGAAACAGGACTTTTGAAACACGTCGACGGACACACAAGTCAAGATGAACTCCAGTGGTCCGTGAAGGTCTTTGGTGGAGGACAGCGCTAGTGATGAGGTAGCACCGGTGTTAGTGGGGCATTAAAGGAGAACCCCTGGAGAAGTCAGTGCGTGGTCGTACCGTCATAGCCGAAGTAGCCCAGAGGTTTCTTTGATGCGGAGGGAATGAACGATCCGATGAAGTAGTTGATGATGGCAGTGATGAGGACAATGAGAAGGAATATTTGGGCCTACGGGGAAGAAAACAGACGATTCATTAGTCACAACTGGTCGGAGTTTGATTGATTTAGAAGCCTGTTCAGGGAAGCGTTCATGAGCGGAGGTTTGTGTCAGCTGTATATCAGAGACAGCAACCCGCTAGTACCTTGGCCTCCCATTCCATTCCTGCCAGGGAGATGCCCAGGAGAAGGATCACGGTGATTGTGCCGATGATGCGGATATCGTTGAGTTCGTCAGTCATATTGGCATCTACACCCTGAGAAACGATACAAAGGGTGGTGTAGTTATACAAGTAAGAGTCCGTCCCACCCTGGTGTGCTGCAGCGCATCCCGGGCTCTGCTGAGAGTGAATGGCCGTCCCTCCACCACTTGTTTACCCCCCAGAGCCGAGCAAGGCTTTTACCCTCAGGACCAAGAGCTCACACCAGAAATACAGTTTTTAAAGAAACTGCATTTGTGGATTCAGATTCTAGGAGAAGACTCACTGCCATACAATTCAATGATGGGACACTTTGACAGAGTCCTCTGGCTTAAAACAGCAATCTTAGTTTGAAAGGTTTAAAGACCGTCACAGAGCATTTACATTGGCACTTTTCAGCTTACTCCGATTAGGAGTTGGAGTTCGTCTATAGACAATAGTCAGGTGACCACTTGAAGCCATTTGCTCGCTGTGATCGTTCCTGCCGTTTGCTCCTTTTGTGCAAAACGACCTTCCAACTCCCTTGCAGTGATGTCTAAATGTCTGAAAGCACCACGAGGCACAAAGACTTACGGCAAGAAGTTCTGCAACAGTTTCGGCAAAGCCCACCACATACATGGCTACAGCCACTGCATTGGCAAAGGCAAAGATCAGACCAATAGAACCTCCAAACTCTGGGCCAAGACTCCTGGAAATCAAGTAATATGCTCCACCTGGAAACAGAAGGAAATGGACAAGACGTTAGTGAAGTCAACTGAATGAAATGGATAAAAATGTACCTTTATATTTTTGGCTATATTACATGGTTTCCCCCTACCATTATAACAGTGAGGGGAGGCGCCTCACTGTTGTAATGGTCTGCAGACTGCAAAGACCTCCGCTTTCATCTACTGGATGGTCACAGTGAGGATGTGGACAGCAGGAGCACCCTCACCTGGGAGAGTCAACTAGATCCAAGGCACCAAAATAACTGCTCGAACTTTCATACGAAGACCATTTCATCCAAATTTGGAATTGATCGGGTTTAAACTCTCGGAGGAGTTTGTTCGATTATAAATCTAAAATACAATGAAAATTGAAAAAAAGAAAAGAAAAGAAAAAAGCAAATATTCAGTGATTGACTGCAGTGACGCTAATGTTCAAATAATCTGATAAAATCAGGGTACGTTCAGGGACTCAATGTCATGTCATAGAGATTTGGTGCGAACAGGCCAAAAACTTTAGAAGTTAAAAAAGTATTTAACCATTAGGCCACACCCCTTACAAATTTAATTTGTCCATAACTTTGATGAATAATGAGATATCAACAAGCTTTTAACTTTAGATGGCTTTGACCCGATAATGATTCCATGAAAATTTCGTGAGAATCGGACCAAATGTCCATCGGAAAATCTACTTTGGTTCATTTGCATACCGTTATTGACTTGTCTGTGGAGCATATCCAAGAACAGCTGTGTGCAAAATGTCAAGAGAATCTGTGAAACTGGGCAGAGATTCCCCCAGAGGCAGCACTTCCAGGGGGCGCAAGAGAGAACATTATTCGCATTTCTGATGCGCACGCCAAAATGCAAGAGTTTATGAATTGGATAAAGGTCTCAAAACTGTGTTTAAAGTGGAGGAATAAGAATAAGTAGAATTCTTTGAAACACAATAGGATCAAGCCCTAATTAAGCCTTCCAGCGACATATGTGACACTTCTACTCTGAACATCTGTTGCAGCAAAATGCTCAAAATGAGTTCCCAGTGCATGCAGAATTTCCCTGGAATATTGTATAGTAGCAGGTAAGATACAAATCTTGAAACATGGTGCCAACATGGTATGCGTTTGACTTAAAAAGGAGCTGGCAGAGGGACACATTATAAGTAACACAGCTCCCTTCTCTATTGGATGGGATCCCTGCATCTAAACAAAAGCATTAGCCAAGCTGAACAGCTGGATCAGGCAAAATGTGCCAAATTAGAATGTAGACGTTACCACCTACAAGTCAACTGGCTCCCTGAAAGGTGCTCAGCTTTCATGGTGCTAAATACGTTAATGTGTGAGCGGTAGAAGTCGTCGCCGACGGACCGGCCAACGAGGGGATGTGGGGGCGCACAGCAAACAATGCTTGGGTGAAGCTTGGGAAATGTGTCAGAGAGAAACAAGCCCGTGTAATTGGGAGAAAATATTGGTTTTCAAAATAAATAGCTCATAGGGGAGAAAAGGCCTCTGCTCCAAGTGACGCGTACCTCCGCGTACAAATCCGTTGGTGGCGATGGCCGATGTGGAGAGTCCGGTGATGGTCGTCACGACGGTGGCCATGGCAACGATCAAACAGGCCAGAGCTGGAGGAGAAATAGGAGACAAAACACACATGAAGGGAAAGAATGTGCAACACTGGTAACAGCTTTCTAGCTTCCAGAGCTCAGAGAGCTCTGTGAAAAGTAACGGCACGGCCACGGAGGGAGCTGCCGCAGTGGAGCCGGCCACATGTGTCACTTTGTGGAGATATCTGGCGTCTTGGCGGAGAATTAACAACAAGTGCTGGAGGGGGAGACGCAGTTGTGTTGTGTGCGAAGTGAGAGAATAAGTGACACCGGGTGAGAAATGGCAAACCCGGCCGGCGGCGCGGCGTCAACAAACACAGGCCGTGTGCCACGCCGGCTCGCCGCCTTCAATTAAGTCCGGCACATCAAAGTAAAACACTGGCTGCGTATCCTGCAGCCTCCTGCTTCTGAAGCCTGGACTAACACAAAGGAGGGAGGGTGGACACGCAACAGCAGTATATTCTGCTGCAGATACTCTAGTATATAGAGATTACATGTACATACTTTAAACAGCATTCTTTTATTTCAAAACATGAGTGCAGATTCAAAGACCTGGTTTTTGAGGTTTAGGTTCCAGATTACATAACCATTAAAATTGGATTTTTGGAAATGAGGCGAATAAGGGAGAAACCAAACATCCAGCCGCATGTACCCTTCAGCTACAGACACTTCCGAGGGCCAGACGGAGTGTCAGAGGGCGTCTCTGCTTACCGATTCCAGCCTGACCCACGATCCACGACATGCGGATGAAGAGCATCACCCCCCAAATGTTCAGCATGCAGCGGACCTGCAGAGAGGAGGGCGGGTTACTGGGAGTGCATGAAGGTCGCCACTGTGGTTCGATATGTGGACGAAGCCTCATTGCTTGACTGCACAACATGGCACTACGTACGGCCTCAGGGGAGCGAGGCGGTGTATTGAGGCTGCGCGTGGCTCTGCGCCCTCCATGCAACTAAGAATGGACTGAAAAGATTCAAATAGATATTTTTATCATATTGATGTATGGCTTTTTAATCCTAAAAATAAACATTTATTCATTTCTGACAAACAATCGCAACTTGATTTACAACTTCCTTCTCCCAACCGGGCCGGTGCATTTTATTTTATTTTTTTAGAACCAAACTCTTCAAAAGTAAATAATGAAAACGAACAGAAACAAATGAATCTGTGAGCTAAACTTCAACAGCGTGTTTTAGACTCGGTGATAAAATACTTCATAGAGTATTAGCGTTAGTGAGGAAGGAAGTACTTCCCATGTCAAAACAAAGGCAGGATGATGAGATCCAGACTGTACTTTCAATGAGATGAACCGCGTGTCAAACAGTCATTGTGACCCCCCCGAGGCACCAGTTCACACTCACGACCCAAACTCCTCAACACAGTGTCGCCTGCTCGCACGTACAGTTTAAATGGAGGAGCACACTTTTCACCTGTTAGGAGTGAAATGTCGCGCTCATGTGGGTTAGCAGGTTGACAATAACCACTCACCAGCACGCCCTTAACCCAGCCAAACTTGACCACTCCTTTGTTGTCGGCGGCCTCCTTAGCAGCGGCCTCCTCGGGGGGGGTGAGCTCATCTCCGTTGGCAAAGCCATCCTCAAAAGGCTCCTTAAAAACAAAAAGACACAGAAATAGAACCATGTTAACGTCGGCTGCTCCTCGTGGCACCCAGACACGCCGCCCACTGAAGGGTTTCCACTGGGACCCTGTAAAAGACTCGCTGCTGTTGGTGCTCTTCGCCGGCGATTTAGGACAAACTACAGCTGCCGACAGGTAGAAACCAGACGCAGCGACGGTGATACGCGATGTACTTTGTGCTCGTAGCGGCGTAGGAAAGGACTTCACCAAAAACAAAAACGGTTCACCCGCGGGACAGTGAACACCCACTGTTCACTCAACAGAAGGACTGGAGTCCTCATCGGACCACAAAGGGGGTTCGAGGTCTAAAAAAAATAAACATCTAAGAGCACGTTTTGTTTCTCAAACATTCTATTTTGCACATTGCAGCGTTGGAGCTCGCATCCTTCCTGCTGGTCTCTGCGGGCACATTGCAGCGTACTGCCGCCTGTAGATTAGTGCGACAACAAAGACCGGGTTGTGTACACATGCGTCCCCACGACAAACAAACAGCGCCATAGTTGGCGCTGGGTTCCTCTAAAAGATAGAACTGATTACTATGCAATAAATTGCTTGTTTGATAGTAATCATGTGAATGTGAGCGGATAAACACCCCCCTCCCTCCTCACAACACTCAGTGTTCAGACCAATTTTGCATTTCCTGTGATGATGGTTAACGAACAAGGACCGATTGTAGGCAAAACATTTCGTCTCTTCAGACAACATCTAAAAAGTACTAATCTACAAAACCATTATTACATAAAATAGGCTAAAATCAGTAATAACTTAACCTAATAAAACAGCAGCAATGTCAACAAGGAGCTATTAACAGTAAAGAGTGAAGTAAAGGAATGGGCCCTCCGTTCATCATGTGCGTGTTACTTGTGTGACTTGTATTTCTTTGTAACCCGACAGTCCTTTGGATGTGGATGACCTTCGGGGTATTGATCCAGTTGGAGGACATTTACCAGCAGCGGACAGGAAGTGCAGTTCTGTGGTTCTGGGCTGCTGTGCAGACCATCGATCCGCAGTGATGTGCGTGTGTCCCCAGTAATGTGCATAGCCTACTAGTGGCAAACACGGGCTAATTGACACTTGACAATTGATGCATATTAATTACAAAGACTCTTCTCAGCGGGCGGGCTGGAATCCATTTTGCTTTTAAAATGACATCCAATGGTGGATGAAAACAAGCCATCTGCCATATATTTGAATGGAAAGCTGCCCAGTGTCCACGGTACGATGAAGAGAGGAAACATGAAAACAAATGAAAAATCTCTCAGCAGAGAAGCTCCGTCATAAATATCATAATCATAAATTAAACCTAATGTAGTAAATTATCCAGGCGTGCCGGGTCCCTGGCGTGTATAGAGCCGTGGGGGGGGCCTGAGCATCACTCCTCACCAATTCACCTGGGCCATCTGTCCACAGGAGCACCGCGCCGGTGTCCCTCGGCAACCCTACCGCAGTCTGCCAGTCGTGGCGGCTCGACAGGCTCCGAGGGCCACAGGCCCAAACTCAGAGCCCCGTGGGGTACATCCGCTAGGGCTAGTGTGTGTGCGTGCACATGTCTGTGTGTGCGTGCACATGCCGCGGTGGAGTTGACCGTTTTTTTTACATTCCAGACTCTTGGAGGGGGGAGTGGGGGGGGTAGAACTGGTAGAACCAGGCTCAATTAGCCTGAGGAACTGAGGATCAACACGTACTGTGAGGCTCAACAAAGAAAATTAAATCCACTTGCAAAAGCATTGACTGGCTGCACAGAATGAATAGAATAGATACATTAATGAGACCTTTGACAACTTTTTGCCCCTTATTGTTCTTCTTAAATATACACAATTTGTTTGGTTTCGAGTCGGGGGGCTACATTTGTAAACCATTGGACTGTACCCTGCCGTGGATCCAGGTATTGGCGACGTCCAAACCACTGGAGCACAGAGTGATTGATGGATTACACCATTAGTCCCACCACCCCGTCCTTCAGGGACGGTGACTGGTGGAGGACATGCCTACGTCACCCTCGGGACTAGCCAAAAGTACAGTGTGACTAAAAATAAAATTCTAAAAAGATCACAGAGCCTAATAACGTCCTACAGCCGATGACACGGTGCGCTCTCGCTAGGAGTCTCTGGCGGTACGTGACTCATACCCCCTTCCTTTAACTTCATTGTTCTGCATTAGGAATCCCACCCGAGCCAAAAGACTGCAGGGCCATGATGTCATCCAGCTTCGGGTGACGCGGTCTCCACTACAGCAGAGACCGGATGAAAGGTGCCAGAGAACAGCCAGAGGAACCGCGTACGAGCAGACAGAACTCATAACTCATTTATTTTTATAGTGATTTTAGCAACAACTGTACAAACTGGTGTTCTGCAGGTCGGCCCCTTGGTCGCATGAGCTCAAATGTTGAGTTCTTACATACTGCAACGATCTCCCAGTGACTTTAGGATTACAGCCAGCTAGTGGACACTAGAATGCCATTTTCCGTCCCGTCATCATGAGTACCATATTCATGGCAGCGTTAATGCAGCTTGTGCGCCAGTCATTTTTCAGTTGGAAAATTAAACCCAAGCACACTTTTTATGTAGCTTTCAATTCAAAAGATAATTAAATCTGCTTCTGGCTGCAGTTAATGACACAGCCGGGCAACGGGATACGTTCTTATCCAACAGTGATGTCAGGTCAAGCCGATGATATCATTATGCAACGCTGAAATGAAGCTGTGCCGCCCTGTGGGACATTAGGGAGACATCTGCTTGGTTCGTTTGTTGCCTGCCTCCGTTTCTTCATGCCAATTCTAATGGGGTCACTATGAGAGACGGCATGAAGAACAGGGCTGCTCGCGAGTGTCACTCCAACAGATGTTTGGAACATTGCTTTAGTCAAAGACACACGTCTTTATGACCCCAGGCTGGAAGAGGCACGTAAGCGTCCAGTATACCTTTAGAAGTTAGAACAGCATTGGAGCGCTCGTTCATGATCTGCAAAAGTTAGAACTTGGATTAGTTCATGTGCTTCCACCTCTCCAGGTAACGAGCATCACCTTCTCAAGCTCCCAACCCACAAAAACCAGCATGAACATTACGGACGTGTTTATGGTACCGGTGTGTGTAGATCATTGTTCTGCAGAAGGAACCATTTGTGTTCGTAGTTGAAATAACCCTTTAGTGTAACAGAAGACTGATGCAACCTCCGGTTCAGTCGAACACAAACACCAAAGTGTCTCAAAGCTGCATTCTTACTGCTGACCAGCAGGGGGCCCACGCGAAAACGACTACGTCATTTATTCCCTCAATGTTCTTCATATATATGTCCATGTCTTCTCCAGTAGAGCATGGTGTGCATTTACTAAACGATGGTCCGTTTGGAGCAGCAGCAGCTCGGCACGCCACTGATCAGGTGGCAAGTGGAGATTCTGACTTGACCCGATAAGGATCTGCGGCCGAGGGCTCAGAGCGCCGTGCAGACAACACAGGACGAGCCGGTGGACATCATCCACATGGCTGAAGCAGCACAAAGGCCGGCTGAGCACAACAATGCACGCAGGGCCGAGCACGCCGGTGCACACGGTGCCGTGACAAAAAAAAAGAGAAACCTTCTAATTCAATTGGATTTCACAAACTTGAACAAAGACTCAAAGTCGTGAGGTTTTGAACAACTTTGAGTTACCGCACGTCCTGTGTGACCTGAAAAACATATTAAAAGCAGGAGAGAACATTTCCAGGAAACGCTGGCATGTTCTGGTGACCCACTAATGAATAATCCTGAATTATCAGGACTGACGCAACACACACAGTCAAAAACAAATAAGGCTCCTGTTAAGTCGGTCCATTAAACGGAAAAAACAAACTCCACTGCAGCCACTTAGTGGGACCGGGGGGAGCATTATGCCAGTGGAACGTTTCAGAGACCTCCAAGAGCAACGCCGCACATGTGCTGCTCAAAGGGTTGATGCAGGACGTAAAAGGACATTGGACAGGAACAAAGTGGGGACGGGCTTCGTCCCCTCTTATTTATTAGCGCCTACTTAAAATCTTTTTTTTGGTTCCTCTCTCGGTCTCAGGTCCAAACAAACTGAGATATGATACCGGGCTCGTATGACACGTGAATAGGTCACACAGGGATATCGCTTACTAATCTGACAACTGGGAGCTGCTTCTCAATTCTCCTACTGCAGCTTCTCCAATCTGAGACATTTCTATATTTTTTTTTTTCGGGGGGTGTTTGTACAATGAGCGTGTCAGCAACTGTGTGCTGCCCAGCATTGGCTTGTTAGACTTTTATTTGTTAATAATATCCCAATAGAGCCGTCCCCGTGCACGCCGCGTCCGATGTGCATATTAGCTTACATTGCAGAGGTAAGCATCTTCTGAGCCAGGCGGACGCTAATGGCTTCTCAGATACTTATTTCAGTCCCGCGTCCTCCCTGCGTGACTCCGACAGAGCCAGAGAGGACCGATCAGATGTCCACCGGCTCAGACGTCTCTCCATTGTTTGACAAAAGCCTCCCACCACTCACTTCATTATTCTTTTACTGCCCAGAAACTCTCCCAGAGTTGGATTCCCTGCAGCCCGCTGGGGCCTGTTGATAGAACGGAAAATGGCGAGGGCCGACCCTGCAGAGACTTATGTTTATGAACTGTGTCAGGTTACTACTTGAACCGGCGCGAGTGTGAATGAGGCGACGAGAGAGGCACCGGGAACACAGAGGGGGGCTTTGTTGCTCTGGGAGACAACAGCGTCTGGGTGGAGGGTTTGGAACCAGGCGGGTTCTCGGTGTGGGGTGGAGGGGAACATGTGGCGGTGGGCATTGGAAGCAGGGACGGGTCCCTCATTACTTACACCATGGAGCTACTTGGACATGACTTCAGCTGGTGGGTCGGAAGTTGGAATTGGCTTCATAATGAATGCAGGGGTCTGATATGCATCATATCCATGGCGGTCACACTAAAGACCATTAGCACGTGTGCTCCCGTCCCCCGTTGAAAGGC